AATCCGGAAAAGTCGGCGAAGAGTCATACAGGATGCAATTACGAGTGCAAGGGGTTTCCGACGAGTCTGGGACGAGATCGGGATCACGCGGTGTCGGACAATCGGTATGCCCCCGACGTGAGCGCAACCCCTTCGCGGGGGGTTGTTTTATTCATGTCACGTATATGCACCGCCACCGGTTTGCTTTTCCACGTCTATTCCGTTGGCGCGCACGGCCCCGATTGGCTCTTCCCTTGGAGCCGACGGAGGTCGTGCCTTATGATTTGCGTATGTATGCGTGAATTACGGGACCGGGAACCCCCGGTGCACGCGAGTCGAATGCATCGTCCTCGGTTGGAACGATAAAACTCCGGCCCCCGGCCTAATAAACAATCGATCCCGAAGTCGACCACTCTTACCCTCGGGAACCAATCGCTAAAGACTGCTTCACGCACTTTTTATCCGCGTCGTGATCGAACAACACGTCATTGGCATCAGAAACCACTCGCTCGCGATTCCCTGGATTTTGAGGATTTTTATGATTTTGAAGATTTTGAAAATTTTGAAGATTTTGAGGATTTTTATGATTTTGAAGATTTTGAAGATTTTGAAGATTTTGAAGATTTCGAAGATTTTGAAGATTTTGAAGATTTAAAAAATTTTGAAGATTTTGATGATTTCGACGATTTTGAAGATTTTGAATACTTTAAAGATTTCGCGGATTTCGCGGATTTCCTGGATTTTTTCAAGGATCTCATTTTCATTTTTTTTTTCGAGGATTTTACGGAGGATTTCGAAGATTTTGAAGATTTTAAAGATTTTGAAGATTTTGAAGATTTTGAGGATTTTTATGATTTTGAAGATTTTGAAGATTTTGAGGATTTTGAGGATTTTTATGATTTTGAAGATTTTGAAGATTTTGAAGATTTTGAAGATTTTGAAGATTTTGAGGATTTTTATGATTTTGAAGATTTTGAAGATTTTGAAGATTTTGAAGATTTCGAAGATTTTGAAGATTTAAAAAATTTTGAAGATTTTGATGATTTCGACGATTTTGAAGATTTTGAATACTTTAAAGATTTCAAAGATTTTCAAGTTTTCGAAGATTTCGCGGATTTCGCGGATTTCCTGGATTTTTTCAAGGATCTCATTTTCATTTTTTTTTTTTCGAGGATTTTACGGATCTTTTTCGAGGACTTCACGACTTAAGGTGTTCATAAGAAATGGATCGGAACTCTTATCTCGGTTATCACGTAGTACAGATCTTTTTCATTTCTTTTGGAATTATTTTTCTTCTTTGAATATCGAACACTTGAAGCGATGGGATGCAGAGCCGGGTTGCAGGCGGTATTGAATTTTCCTCCTTGAAGATCCCGAGGAGTTTCTCGTCGGGGCTGGTTTACGAAATAGAAACCAAGGGAACAACGGACGAAGATGCTCCCGGGTTTTAAAGAGGAGAGCTCCTTTATGCGCTTGGCTGCGATTTACCTTGCCAGGGTAAATCGTTTCCCCTGCTCTCTTCGTGTTATTCATCCGCTTGGAGGTTCCAAGACGCCCGATCCGCTGATTTTCCCAGCCGCTTAAAACTCTCTAATCGAGAGAAAATAGTGCGAAATTTATCTGCAGTTTAAAAACAGTCAGAACCCGCTGCTCGAGAATTGGAGCACCCGAGAAAAATTCAACAACGCGTCTAAAGATTGAAATAATTAATTGAAAAAATTTGTAACGATCAGGAAGTACCGATTTATAGTTAAACGTCGTAATTCGAGAGCCAGGACATCCTCAGAATCCAGGGAAAAAAATTCGACAATTCAAAGGATACCGATAACTATTCAAAAATATCGCAAGGGTCACGAAATACTGATTTATGATTATAAGAAAAATTCAACCGTGCAGTCATGAGATAATAATTAAAAACATATCGCAAAGTTCCGGGGATATTAATTTGTCATTGAATATCGCGACTTGAAATTCAGCGCATCCTGCGAGAAAAAATATAACAACCCGAAGGGCGTAGATAATGAATAAAAAAATATCACAAGGCTCGGGAAATATTGATTTATCGTTAGACGTCGGAATTTGAGAGTCGGTGCACTTCTGGAAGAGAAATTCGATAACGAAGCGGGGAAATAATAGTGAAAAACTGTCGCAAGGGTACCGGAACACTGATTATTGGCGGACCCCGGGGAAAGAGAGGGGCCATTTTAATGACGTACCGACAGGAATTCTTTTCAGGGGTCTCGATTTAGTGCACTCACGGTTTTACGGTGCACCTCCGCTTTACAGTACAACTTTACTGGTGCTACTCGGTTTACGGGCAGTATCGGCTAGTACATACGTGAATAAAGGTATTTATTGAACTCCGTGGCGTGCAGCGCCATTGTTGGCGTGTAGGTGTTACTTTAGGACCCTGGAACAAATGTCCGGGCGCCATTGACATAATTCGTTGGTAATCCGACAGGAACACGGGGAACAATCCACATCCAATCTCTGATAACGAGGCGACGGCGGGACATAACCGGGGAGTTTGGAAAATGGTTCGCCCCATCCTTTGCGGGAAAAGTTGCAGTGTTTTCCAAGAGCCAACAAGAGAGAAGTCCCCGAAGGAAGATCCCAGGGAATATCCGGTGACCGCAAACTCCGGGCAGGCTTTCATAACGATAAGTGCGGGGGTTTAGACTATTTCCCCAGCAGGGGAGAAATCGTCAGGTGTTTCCTCGATATTCCGGGCGTCGATTTGACGAACGACTTCTGGGCCCATCTCCGAGCATTCGGACTCGGTCCGGATGCTGCGATCGGCGCCGCATCCGTTTTCATTTTCCGATAAATTCCCCCGCAATTGGGAGCCATTCTTTTTCCAGGGGCGAGACAACATTAATTAAATGGCGTGCCAGTGTTATCGTCCTATCGCGCGTTCACACGTGCCATGATTAATGGCCCAACTACGGCCCCTGGTGGAGGAACTACGTTCCCGGCCCTGGTGCGTAACAAGGCCGAGCAAGAGAATCAAAACGCGAACGATGATGGGTTGCTTCAACGGCACCGTGACAATTTCTGGTGATAACAACGATCTCCGAAAGAAGAAACAAGAAAATGGAAAAAAAAATTCCCTGCGACCCAGGAAGACGAGATTCGCGACTCCCTTTCCTCCTCCCGATTATTGTGGAAGGAGAACTTTGCTTTATCGTCTAATTTTAATTCTACAAGACGTTTAGAGATAAAGCTACTTAGTCCAGCAAGCTCTGCGGCGATGAATGGCTTGAACGGCCATGATGGCTTGATAAAAAAGAAGAAAAAAAAATAGACCCTGCCCTGATGCGTCAGTCATCGTCCAAACCCAAATCGTCAATCGATCATCAGGTCCTAATCAAAACAGGCCATTAGGTCCTTTGACAGTTTAATTCAAGTGACAACATCGGTTTCATAAACAAAATATGAATAAAATGTCCTGTTACCCGGAAAGTCGAGATCCGCGAATCCCCTCTTACTTCTCGATTACTCTGGAAAAGGGATCCCAATTCTTTACTTAATTTTAATCCTACAAGACGTTTAGATACTCACCCCTCATTGGCTCGCGCACGTGGCCTCGTCCAAGTGGCACTCGACGCGAAGTGCAGTTTACGCGAGTGCACTTGGCCAAGAGATTTCCTCCTAAGTAAAGGAAGGGCAAACAAGCGGCCACACCGACTGCCAGTGACAATGGAAAGGATTCCAGTGGGAAAAGGGGGCCAGGGAGGACCCGGAGGCGGGAAGGATAAAGCTCCCTCGCGGGGGGTCTCGCGCATCCTTCAAAAGTGGACGCCGCGACGCAGGAGCGTCGCGCCGGTAACTTTAATATCGAGGAGCCCGAGGCGGGGGGCTAAGGCGTGCAATTGCACTTCTTCGCGAGTGCTCCAGAAAGTTATTATTAATCTCCCATTCGCGAGGCCGCGGTCCCGGGCTACTTTCCCAAGTAATCCAGGAGACAGGTCCTCGAGAGGACCCAGCCTCCGAGCCTAGGAGGGTCCTAGGGAACTTGGGATTTTATTTTTTATTTCATTCGAGGACCTAACCTACCGGATGTTGGCCCCAGTTTCCATCCTGGCCGGGTCCCCCAAGGATATCCTCGATCCCTCGATTTTTTCTCGATTTTCTCCTACGCGGAAATTCGCCAGGGGACGTGGCGTTAGTACCTCGCGTCCCGGAAGGAACGGAAGGGGTGAAATTACTCTCGACCTGGAGATGAACAAGGTCTTGGAAGAGCATCCCCGATCCTTCCATTATTTCGTCTGAATTTTCTGCAACGTAGAAATTTGCCGAGGGTTGAAGGAAGGGGTGGAAATCGGTAAAGGAGTCTTGTCAAGTTTCGAAGGGGAGTTTTTGCTTTCGACGAGAACATCCCCTGTCCCCCGATTTCTTCTCAATTTTCCGCAAATTCGCCAAGGGAACGCGTTAGGCTCCTTGCATCCTGGATGCAGGAGAAGGGATGTATTTATTCTCGATCTCCAGGGTCCCTCTCGTCGAGGTCACCGAGCTTTCTCCGTGGATGATCGAGGTGGTTTCATAAGCGGTCATTTCCGCAGCAACGAGCCCTGGGAAAGGCGTTTCGCAGGGGGTTGCTTAGCGAAAAGAAAAGCCCGGAATCGAAAAGTAGGCCGTCGCGGGGGTGTGAGTAACTAGGGCTTGCACACATGCCTAAAGGAAACGGTGCGAGAGGGGTCGCAACTTAAACGATGCTTTTACATGACGCCACGACGAGAGGGTGACGGCCAAGAAGGCCTCGAATGGCCGAACGCGAAAGGGGTGGATCCATCTCGCCTGGAAATATCGAGCCCGGTTGCTTTGAAAGTTGACTAACTTTCGGCCCTGACACCGCAAGCTAGGAGAATATGACCGTGCAGAAATACCTGAAAAAATACCCGAAGTGCAGAACTCGACTGCACTTCTCTACCCCCCCAGTGCACCCCTGGGGCGTTCTCTCATCTTCTCCTTATTTTCTCCATTTTTAACGGTTTAAAATTTTTCTTTCTTTTTTTTTCAAGATCACCTGGGTCAGGAAGAAGGACAATCAGCTTTTGACCGTCGGCACCACGACGCACTCGACGGATTCGCGATTTGAGATCAACCCTGCCGATCCCGAGAGATCTCTGCGCATCAAGTGGGTGGACTACGGCGACGCGGGGCTCTACGAGTGTCAGGTGAGAATTACTGTATTAATTTCATCCTGGATAAGTATAGAGGGCAGGAAACTCGCTCCGTGGCGAGATCTTCTCTCGATCCACGGATGGTACCTTTGAAAATCCAAGATCCCTCATTTCCGACTATGAGGACGCTTCGAAGCGGCTTTCAAGTCCTACGTCGCGACGCTCCTCTCGAAGAGCTGTCTTTCCTCGTTTTCATGAGATGCAAGGGAGGAAGAAAAAGTCCCAGGCCTTGTCTTGCTCGTCCAATCGACGGGAGCAAACAATGCCGCGTTTGCGGAGCTTTACTTAAACCCAAGTACCCTGGTGGCGATAAATTGAGGGCCCAGGGTTTCCTATAAAGAGATGTCCGAAGCGAAGCGATCTTGGGTGTACTCTTGCAGGTGGAACCTCTAATTAGAGGACTCATTGTTAAGGTTCTGAAACGTGCTCCTTGCAGATCTCCTCGGTGCCTCCTCGCCACAAGTACGTGCGTCTTAACATCACGGAGGCCTACTCCGTGATCCCAGGTGCGCCCGATCGGCACATCAAACAAGGGTCCAGCTTGCGTCTGGATTGTCAGCTGAAGTCCTCGACGGAACCGCCGCTTTATGTGTTTTGGTACCGAAACGGCACCATGATCAATTACAACGCGGAGCCTGGTCTGAAGGTGGACCTCAGCAAGACCGGGTCCACCTTGCTGATCAACAGGACCAAGTTGAGCCACGCAGGGAACTACACCTGTTCGCCCAGCAACGCCAAGTCGGCGTACATCGTCGTGCACGTGATAGAAGGTACACCGACAGGCATATAAATTCCTTTCGCATTTTTATAAAATCCGATTGATGTGGCATTTTTATCAGGGCGAAACGAGATTACTCAAGGAGCAATCAGCGATCGCGAATCACGCGTGGCACGAATTGCTGCTACCATTTTTGGGGAATGTCGTACCCCAGGTGACAATAAAAAAATCCCGGAATTTTCTAATCGAGCATTTACGTCGACGAGACCAAGTGAAAAGTGGGGTTTTCGATGGCCAGGGTCGACTTAAGAGGTCGATAGCTCGCAAGTCGATCAGGAAAATCTCGAAGAGCCTTCCTCGATTCGGACATGACGTCAAATCGGTGTTTCACGAACCGCTTATTCTGGTCGCTTTTCCATTAATCTTTCCGTGGGATTTCGAGGCTGGAGGTTTACTCGCTCGACAATGCCCAGGTCGATAAGTTTGAGGTAGAAATAGCCGACAGACGTCGATGCTTGCTCTTAGGCGAGATTAAATTTCTTCGTTACCCGCGGGACATGGTCGATGCTGTAACTCCCCTCGGCACGAGGGAGTTCGGGAATTTTACAGTCCATAAACTTGAAGCGACCGAGGCACTTTGAGCATTTTTTCCGGCTTTCCCTATTTTTCTTTTCTTTTTTTTTTCCCTCCCCTCGCAACTCCACCGGGAGCTAGAGAAGGAATTTCCCTACGAGCGGCGTTTGGCGTTCCTAATGTCGCATAAAAAAGGAGGGAAAAAAGGAAGAAAAAAGAGGATGACGCGGAGAGAACTCTTTAGAGGTCTAATGAAATGAAGAGACTTCTACGCACGGTGCATTTTCAAACAAAGCGCGCTTTTTCCCCCTTCGTACACGGGCATGTTTGTTCTGCCTTGACAAACGATCCGATCGCTTAGAGCGTGGGTTTTGCCGTCCTGTTTGCCACGACCTAACGAGCTCGATTCGTGCATCCTTCCTGAAAAGAAAGGATTAGCCACGGGTTAAATGGCCAACCTGATTTCCGGCTCTGGATGGAAAAGCCCGACAATGGCTTAAGTGGTAATTTCTCCCCGGCATTCCAATTTTCAGACGCGCCCCGAGCCCTGGACACTTTGTCCTCGCTGATTAAATGTATTGCCTGGTTAAGTAGGTATTCGAAATGAAATTCCCTGCCACTTGGGACGGAGATTCGCCCATCTCGGTAATGTCAAACGGAGAATCGGTTTATCCAAATGTCCGGCCTCGAAGTGTGCCTCGATGACGAATTTCCGCGAGAGCTGCTCGGAAAAATGAAATTTCAAATTCAGGGCTTCTTAACTTCTACGTCAAAACAATTATTAGATGCAACTACTTACTAATTACTCTTACCTTCCTGTCACGAAACGCTCTTACGCGTTTGGTACTGATATTTGACGGGAAAGCAATAATATCGAGCGGCGAGTTTACACCGACTTCGTCAAACCAAAAGTACAGTCGTCGATTACGACAACAATTTTAAATGAAATAACACTAACGAACACGCGTACGCAAATTCCATTGTTACTGGAATACAAACTCGGGAAAGAAACGAAATAGCGTTTCACTTTCCCAAAGGGGTCCTTTCGTAACGTGGGAAATTATCGTTAGAATGATTACCGTGCCTTAAGAAGTTACTCCGAAAAGAACAATTGGTCTTACTCCGTGAGGACGTTAATAAAGTGTTAATTGGAGAAATGATTTCTTTTTCCAGAGGAGGAGAAACCAGCCGCGATGCACGGGGGTGACCGGCACAACTCCTCGTCGAGAGCATCCTGCAGTCTTTCCCTGCTGTGTGCATCGCTCCTCGGGCTGGAAATTTTCCGGAAAAGATTCCAATTTTTCCCAACGGTGGTCACGTGACCAGCCAATGGACATTTTGGAGGTTTTCCGTGAGCTCGACGCAGCGCCGTTAAGCCGAAGGAGCCAAAAAAAAGAGTCCAGGGGCGATGCGAATTCCAGGGATACTCCCGGAATTCCCGGGACTCCTGGGAAACGGAATTCCTGTCCAGGATCTTCTCTCACCGGTGGCCGGCCTCGAATTTCTCCGCAGGAATCGCCCAAGTTCCTCCAGAGGCGTCCCGACCGGAAATCCGTCACGGATGAGAATGCCGAAAGGTGCGAAAGAAACGCCCGTTGAAACGCTCTTTGAAACGCCCGTCGAAACGCCCGATTTCGACCCTGTACATAGAACCTGTAAGATACAACGCTTCGGAGAATTGAACTTTGATGTCCAACCTACTTAAGCTAGTTATCAGGAATTTAACGATCAGTACCTTCGAGTTAATCGCACAGAGTTACAGCGTTACAGCTAAAGTGTCGAGCCCCTCCGAATTCCGAAAGTTCTTCCACACTAGGCGACCCCCGAGACTCATTTCGAGGTGGGGTTCCTTTTTCCGCGTAAAAACACGTGTATAAAAAATCAGGGAAACCAGGGAACCGGAGGAGGAACAGGAGGTTCCTGGTTCCTGACCGGTGGTTCCTCTTCGATCATGGGACGCGGTTCAAAGTCGGTGCGATCAATTCGAGAGGATAGTTAAAATGTAATTCTACTCTTCCATACGATTACGTGCTCATTCGATGTGTATCGGTATCAATAGATGTCTATGTATATAATTAGACATAATTACAGAGACCTCGGTCTGCACTCGGAAAGTAAAGACTTCCTTTGAGGGACCCTGTACTCGACAGTTAATTTCAGAAGGCTGTGAGCAATCGCAGGTGGACTTTCAAATCCACTGACGGTAAGTCAAGTTAAGTGTCAACGTGTAAATATACACCGAGAGAGAAAACTTCCCCCCCAGCAAGTCAAGGAGCATTATTTATCCAGTTTCGCTCGCAGTTAGTTCAGTTTGATCGCCCCCGCGCCGTTAATTACAGCCCCTTGTACTCAATCGGCTTTGAAAATTCCCGAAAGTTAGTTCATTAACTCCTTTAATGAAGCCCGGACACGAGCGACATCTTCACCTCCCCCTGAGTCCTCTTCTTCTCTTCTTCGAGGTCTCCGAACTTCAAGGTTGGGAGCCGCAACAACCCCGACGCCGCTGATGGAACGGACCTCCACCTAATTCCGTCAACTTATTCCATTTCTTTAACAAACTCGCCTCCTTATCATTTTTTAATGCCTCTAATCCGACAAAGCACCCTACAAGAAATTCGACATGTAATAAAAAATTACACACATCGTTCTGAAATTCAGCAACAAGAAGCAAAGGGAACCTAAACAATGGACAAGTCACTCAGAAATCATTCTAAACGAAATCCTTCTTTGATAACCGATCTTTAGTGACTTCATTCGATAAACGAGGTGATTTAGCAACAAGTGACGTTCGATATTACAATTTCTGTGACTAGATAACCTCGATGTAAAACAGTTCTTAATGATTTTTATCGTTGTCATTAATTTTTAATAATTTCCTTCAAATGGATTAGAGGTTTCAATGATTTCTCGTGGATTTTCACGTGACTTTAGGATTAAAGCACGTGATTACTGAGGGAATAACCCTTTTCGGGGTACTTTGAAGCACCTTGGAGGGAAATTCGCCATCGTTTCCTCGAACGCGATCGCCGGAACTCTAAGTCGGGCATACTCGTCGAAAGGGGTAGTTTCTACACGAGGCACATTTCCAGCAGGTTACGAGGACCGACAACGCAATGGACTCCTCCCCATAGACGCAAAGCCTCTGCAGGATGCCTCGAAGTTGCAATTAACAAAGTTTAACCCCTGAAGTCTGACGACAGCGAAGGCTCTCTGGAGAACCGACCGCCATATTGGAGTAGACGTTTCAACGACGTGTTTCGCAAGGGGTAAAATCATTTCCCCCTGTAAAGATACCCGATATGGGATTTAAATTTAATTCCAAAGGAAAGCCTAACAAGTCGAGCTAAAAATCCAGGCAGAAAGCGAGCAAGATAAACCCTTACTGTTAATGAATTTAATTCTTATTCCCCGGACACAGGAGAGAGAAATTCATTTTCCCGTAATAAATCGCGTTTCGAGGAGGAGGGGGAAAAAGGAGGGAAGAGAGAGAAGCGGAAAAGCAGGGGACGATTAATCCAGACGCGAATTGCATACAAGTAGTACCCCGAGTGCACAGTTTGAGTTGATTAGGCGGCAACAAGGGAGACACAGGACTCGGTGCAACAAAGCTCTCTTCCCGGGAGCTTTTGTGTCCTCGTTGAAGCACTCTCGTTATCCCGGAATGGGAATAGGAGCACTACACCTAGACGGCCCAATTTTCAGATCCTGTGGAATCACCGGAGTGTCCTGGGATAGCGTCCTTCCGAAGGATCTCCTCTCAGACGTCGTAAAGATCGCGAAGTGGCCCGTCCTTCACAAAGGGATACGGGGTCGAGACTATCTTCGGGGGATGGAAATTTAATTCCACTCTTAATTCCATCCCGCCACCTGGGGGTCCTTAAAAAAGATCCAGCTTCTCGAGGAACCTCGAATATGGATATCCGGGATTTTTAAATGAAATCCCAGGACCATCGGTGGGGAAATCTGATTGTTCGACGTCGGGTGGAGGCGCCTTCGTTTCGGGTACGTCGTCGGGTCCTTCGCTACTCGTTATTCGGGTTGCGGACAACTTTCGGTCCGCCTGGTGCACCGGCATTGTTCCCTCGTGTACAATGCGTGGCACGCGATGCTTTCGGGTAAAGTGCAGCAGACAAACGAGAAAGGAAAAGAGCCCACGAAAATCCGGGCAAACCGGCGGGAAGCCCGCCCTCAAGAATACGTCCCAATGAACCCTTTATCGTCGAGCATCCGCACTCCGGGGATGCAACTTTTTCCCCGACAAATCACTTTAATTACCGAGCTCTTTTTTATCCGCACAGACGCCTCCCATGGCAATCGCTATAAAAGATCCTCCCCCGACGCCGAGAATCCAAACTTCCGGCGAGGACGCGTTATAAAATCTAAGTACACCGAAAAAAAATAAAAAAATAAAAAAAAGTCGACAAGCCTTTCAATGTGCATCAAATAGTGTGAAAATTCACCACTTGCACATGGCGCTCCTAGGGTAAAATCCCGTCACCCATGAAATCCCACCCTTCAAATTTCTTTACAAATGTTCCCTCGACCTTTGTTTACTAAAATCGAAATTCAATTGGTGTTGGGAGATATGCTCAGGCCCTCCACATTCACGGGATTGGATTTCAAGCGATTGGGAAGACTCAGTTCGGAGGATAGTAATTCACGACCGATCTTGGCGATGCACTTTTGCCATCGTCTTTTTTCCGGTAATTTAACGCGCTTAGGAGAGATCCGGCCGAGAATTTAATGTTACGTGCCGAGAGACGTATTTTCCAGGATTCATTTGCCACCGATCCGCGGAAGGGACGAAACGGTTGGCCGCGGATCGAATCCGCACGCGTGATCGGCATCGTGGCAGCAGTCGAGCCGCTGCATCCCCGGTGCACTTTGCACGCGAGCCACGCGCCGCCCCCCGCGAGGATTTCATTAACACGAACAGGTGATACGAGGAAGCGACTTCGCGGATATTGCGGATTTAAGCTGCGGCGGCCGCAGCTGGCGCACTCGAGGATAAACCCTCCGCGGCGACGGAAAAAGACTTATGGGGGAAGTTTCGCCGGAAGGCTCGTTATTGACTCGTTAAGCCGTGCACCGAGGCTTTGCCAGGATAAAAAGCGACCCTCGACACCATTAAGAGGGGCCGATCGCAGGCGAGGCGTTAACTTTTCCGGAGTTTTCCCCGAATTATCCCGGCTAAAAATAATAATCGTGTCAATTGCGGAACCTTGACCTCGCCTTAACGCGGAGCCGGATTAATTGCAGCGGGCTAAAAGTGCATGGAGCATTAACCGGGTCTTTCAGGAGGGTGTACCGAAAGGCCAGTTAGCCAATCATTTTCCCGAGGCATTGCGCCAATTTTCCGTCAAGAGGGTATTTAAGGGCTTTTGGGGGAGACAATGCACATTATCCCGGGCAGAACCAATTTTCCTCCGAGCTGGCCCACGAAAATAGGATGTAAAGGCTGCTGCGGACTTCTTTACATGCGGAAATTAGTGCGGCCGACGGGGTATTAATTCTGGTACCTCCGGGAGAATAGTCTCATCATTTATGGACATGAGCGGAACCAGCGTTCCCGTTTCATACGAATTTTCCATAGACGAGACCGAGCCCCGGCGGATGTGTCGAATTTTCGGAGCGGACGCGGACGAGCCGCGCGGTAGCGCGAATTAACGCTAAACGGATTCATTCTGAAAGGTCCCTGTGTCGGCGACAGGTGGCAACTCAATAATGTAATAACCGGAAAATAATTTGTCTTCGATGACGGACGAGTCTCGCCACGGTGGAGATGCATCTATGCAGTCGATTCGCAAAAGTCAGTCCGAATAAAAATTATTAATTCGCTTAGAACCATAAATTTATATTAAACTACCGTAAAGAAGTGTAACTTTTATACAATCGAGGTCCTTAGGCCAAGGTGATAAACATTTTTTTATACATATTTAAGAAATACATATTTCATACATCAAGGTAAAACGGAGGCAAAAGGTCGGAGGTAGAAAGTAAAACGTGAAATATTATCAAAAGAGGTCTGCCGCCGGTTGGGAAATTTTACCGACTCGCGGAATCGATCTTTCAGTCCTGGTTATCGTTTGCAAGACCAAGACTGATTTCCCTCGGCAGGTTTGTTCAAAGTAGGACTACAGTTCCACCCTGGCCGCTCATTGTCCCGTGTTCGAGAGACTCCGAAATGACTTCGACGGAGCTACTGGTATCAGCTGGGAGCGGAATCGCGCGATAAGAACTACTTCCTAACAAGGCTAGGGTATAAATAGGTCGAAACGGCCCTTTGCCGATCCGCAAACGGTATCGGCAGCGAATTCTCTTGCGACTTGAAATGCCTTGAAACTTAGAGCGAGGACTAATGACTGTTTCGTCGACGTGCATTCCGGTCAGCTTTTGTTGCACCACGGCTCGCTTTGAAGCGGGCATCAAACGACGACTCGGCGGGTTTCCACCATGGCGGACGTCGTCGTTTGCGGGCGATAAAAACCGGCTTGATTGCGGTAGCCGCGTTTGAGGTGGGCGTAAACGCTCGAGCGAGGTGTAAATTCGATGACTGCCCGCTGGAGCGATGTTTCGACAAAATGTGCTCTGGGCGAAAAGACGAAAAATCCCTGGGAAAAATAAAAACAGCCGCCAAAAAGCAATCCTCTCCTGCGTGCGCGTCGATCGAGGTTATTAAAGCCAACCTGGGAAAGAATAAAGGGAAATGAGAAATAAAAATACCGCATGGAGGTGATTCTTCCCTAGAGGTCCTTCCCCGCCGGCGGCTGGACCGCGACTGAGAGCGCTGCGCGGAGCGCGCTCGACCTACCCCTCGTTTCTCCTCCACTTCCGAATATAAATCGACGTTCTAATGACATTAGACTTTCCTTTCGATACGGGATCGAATCTTTCGGCGGACCCGATCATTCGGTACAATGTTTAATCGCCGGCAAGTAGGTCGGGTTAGGCTTGTGGGAGCGCTAACCCGTGCTCTCAGTGCCGAGGCGCGGCGTTCATGAATATCGGTTTCCAATATAACGCCGGGAATATATCGCGGCGTTAATTCCAGGTACCCGGGCCTCTTGCAAGATTGGAAATTCCACTCTATATTTCGTGGCCGAGGTGCATCGGAGACCGGTGGATGCACCGCGCGGTTTTCTGGTCGCCCACGCTTCGCGCCATTTTCGCCGATCGGAATATCTCTTCGTACTCGAAACTAAATAAGAGGCAGACGAAAAGTAAAACAGACAACCCGTCATTTCTAAAAACCACTTAAGCAACATTCGCGAAAAAAAAATATATTAAAACATTTAAATGATAAATCCAAATTCAGGTCCAATTCTCGCGTTCTCCGAGGAGGGTAGATAAGGTTATCGAGATCGCGGATCGAAGAACGTCTCTTCCTTGGTTTTACATTAAGAGATAAATACGTAAAATAGATATGCTTTATCTAAGGGATGTCAGGAAAATATTGTAAAACCTCGTTTAAAAATCTGGAGTCAAATCCGAACCAAGGGTCCTTCGAGCTGATAAGGTTATCGCTGGTGATAATCGAAAGCCGCGTATTAGCAGACTCCCAGGAGGTCCATAACCGTTCGAGGAGAGTCAGGGAGGATTTCGGTGCCGACATCGTAGTCCTTGGAATATTACAAAAGGAGACGATCGCGGTAATCCCTCGTAGGAAGTGGAACGCGGAGGGCGGCCGATAATCGGCTCGCCATTATCCCCAAAATCCTATTAATATCAAATATCTGGAAGGACCCAGAAGCGAGCATGCAATATGTCGGCAGAGGCAGATGCTCGTTCTTTAATGAGCCCTGCACCTACTTCCGAGGCAATTAATCGATACTTGAAGCCCTTCCGCGAGTAGGTACAAATAAACATAAATACACATTATCCCCACCCCCAGTAAACATGGCACCAGGAAATGCCCAATTAAACCCGAAAATAATCACGAAACTCGTGGAATCGTCATTACGCTCGAAAGTGGAGGCATCGATCATCCTGATCATTCGATCATCTTTTCCACCAAGAAGGGCAGCAAACATCGAGCTTTCATATCTGGGATTAATATCATTTCCCTCGACATTGGTACCCAACGCCATAATAATTCCCACGGTGGGGTTAAATGCGAGTTCAACTCAACATATGGATTTAAGGGAAAATTTCCTGAATGTCCTCATGAATATGCGGAAGAAATATGAAGGCTCTCTTGAATATACAAAATCCCAGTTTTCCTTGTTACGATTAATCGCGACTACCTACACGGGAATATGCTGGAAATACCAGATCGGGCACGCGAAGTGCAGATTTATGATACGATGATATCGAGTAAAAATGACCTAACATCCGTTTAAGGGTCAGGTGTGATTCGAGTAGGGGTATTTGCTCTCCATTCCTTTCTTCTCGGATCCATAGCCACGAGAATGTCGGTGACGCATGCCGTGAGCTTCGAAGGGGCACGGCCTCTGCGAGATATGCAAAATACGCGCTTCGCGTGTGTGCACAGGTGACAGGTCCATAAGTAATTCCAGAGAAAGAGAGGCGGAGAGAGATGGCCGAAGAGGGTGGGCTTCGACCCCGAAGAGGGGGTGGAAGTCGCCCCCGGTCGGCTCGTCGGGGGTGAAGAAGCCTGCTTTATTCCTTCAGACACTTCCCGGCACTCGAAGGTCGGCCTCTCGTGGATTCCTTTCGCTTTATCTTTATTCCTTTACTTAGGGAAGAGCCCGTTAATGAATAAAGAGCGGCGGCCTCTGCGGGGGGCGGCACTCCTCTTCCCCGGCTCGATTCGCGCGGACGCTTATCATAATTGGGACGTCGTTTATCCCGCTTCCCCATTCTTCATTTCGAGCCGAAGCGCCCTCCTCTTCCTCTTGCGTCCTTTTTCTCTTCGTTATTTCCTTCCTTCCCGTCGGAAAAGCGCACCCCTTCCGCACCCTCGCGTCTCGAGACCAAACTGGGGACAAAGCCGCAGCCTCGATTTCACGGGCCCCCCTTTTGTAACGAAGTATTATTCGTCGCCAACTTATTACTGCCCGAGGATTTCCTTTATTTCAGACCCTTCCGATTGCGACCCTGTATTTACCTTCGATTTCTCGGGGGTTGAAGCGACCTCGACTCCCTAAATTTATCCATTTCATTCCTTGAGAATTTTATTTCGCTTCATGGAGTTCGGACGTTTTTTCCGGAATTATTTATTCGGTCATTTTCGATTTTTTATGATAGCATTCAATTCGACCGAAGCACGCATAAATAGGATGAGAAGAGCTTAAAATTCTGAATGAAGTCTGTTTCGTTCCAGGATTTCCTTTATTTCAGAAACTTCGGATATGTCCCTCAGAATTTATTTATTAATTCATCTTTCATTTTCCTCGTTTCATTATTTTCGTGCACCTGTATTTACCTTTGATTTTTCGAGGGTTGAAGCGATCTCGACGTCCTAAATTTATCCATTTCATTCCTTGGGAATTTTCTTTCGTTTTATGGAGTTCGGACATTTTTTCCGGAATTATTTATTCGGTCATTTTCGATTTTTTATGATAGCATTCAATTTCGACCGAAGCACGCATAAATAGGATGGAGAAGAGCTTAAAATTCTGAATGAAGTCTGTTTTATTCCAGGATTTCCTTTATTTCAGAAACTTCGGATATTTCCCTCGCAATTTATTTATTAATTCACCTCTCATTCTTCTCATTTCATTAAATTTCTATCGAACCACCCAGGAGCGATGTCGAGTCGACCGAAAACCCTAACTAGATCCGAACTTAAGTTTTCCGCCGATTTTAAAGATTCAAGAAAATCCCGACCTGCGCTCTTTCTTGTGGAAGGAAACTTTCCGGCGCACCGTTTCTTTGACACGATTCCTACCGATATCTGGGATACTTCGTCGCTATCGTCGGCTTTATATCTCACCGCGAGAAAAACGCTTAATCCCTTTCAAAAGTTTTAAAAGCCCCCGAAGAACTAGCCTCGCTAATTACCCCACCGCTGCTCTAGTTTACGATCTAAGACCCACCCCTCTAATGACCCCCGGCCCCGGAAGCGCTGCTCCGGCAGAAAGAACTCCTGGTTCACGATGACACCTGCTAAAGGAAAAAAGAAAACAAGATTCATGGAAATGGGATTTTAAATATTAACCCACCGATATCTCTACCCTGCAGAAACTAGGAACGCAGCTCCGCCTGATGTCAGGGACCTTCTTTATCGAAAACGATAACGTCGAGCGCGTCGTTACCGACCGTTCCCTTACCCATTGTAGATCCTCGTATGTCCTAAAAAATCGCCTACGACCCCCGGTCTCCGATTCTAATCACCAGTCCTATGACAAGGAATTTGAATAAAATACCATTGAAAAAAGAACACTCGGAACTTACCCATCGTCGATAAGTAATCACCCTTCCTCTTGATGAGCATTGTTCCCAACAGAAGGTATCAATTTTTCCATCCCTCACTTTACTCTTTTCCCCAAACATTATCATCAACGGAAGGAATCAATTTCCCAGGTTATCATGAGTGTCCTCGCCCCCGCCGTCTAGGGGAAGAAACCAGACCCCATATAGTAATTTTCCCCCCCTAGGAACCCTTGACCAACCCCATCGAAATCAATCGTAGAATAGATCATTCATTTCCAGGGGACACCTTGACTCTCCGCGTCCCTCTTATTGTGTATATATTTATTATATATATATATAGGATACCAGTGAACACCGATCCATCTCCGTCATTTAAGGAGTTCATAATTTCCTGTATCAGAAAACCAGTCATAGAAAATTCCTCCATTAGCTGCCTGACGCACCCTTGTTCCGTTTTCCCCCATCCGTTCGCCATAATGGCCGGGGCCTGCGCCGGAAGTGACCCGTTCGCCCGTAACCACGGACGCTTCCACTTCCCTCCGCCGCGCGGCGCCACCTGCGCAGCTCGTCTCGCCCCCTGCCTCGGCCGAGTCGAATTTAACATTGACCGTCGCGCGGCGCGGAGCTCGGCCGTCCTCGAGGATGTCATCGCGGAGCGGGTTCCCGGAGATCTGTCCGCGAGTCGTTTCCCAGGAACCGAGGACCATGATGTAACCGAAGAGGAAGATGACTCTCTCCCAGGACAGCGCGACCACCATCGTCTGCAGGGAGGTTTTCGACGAGGCCTCGCACCCCTCGAACGAAGGTACGTCCCTAAGAACCTGAATATTAATTATTCCCTCTATATAATAAATATTAAAAAACATTCTCTAAGGCGGAAAGTGCCATCCGAGGTGCACCGTTTATCCCATTTATTATTTATTGAATTTTTAGTTCGATTATCCAGAGGATGTGGACTTTTATTTCGGAGGCATTCAATGTACGAGGTGCTCCGTTTATCCCATTTATTTAGTTATTGAATTTTTAATTCGATTACCCAGAGGACGTGGACTTTTATTTCGGAGGCCTTGAAGGTACGAGGTGCACCGTTTATCCCATTTATCATTTATTGAATATTTAATTCGATTACTCAGAGGACGTGGACTTTTATTTCGGAGGCCTTGAAGGTACGAGGTGCACCGTTTATCCCATTTATTAGTTATTGAATTTTTTATTCGATTACCCAGAGGATGTGGACTTATATTTCGGAGGTCCTCAAGGTACAACTTGGATCCACGTTTGCAAATAACCGTACAAATGTAGGATTCGACGTCTAAACGTGAGTCGCGAGTCGTTCGAGGTCCCCCTTAACGCGAAGGCAGCCAGGAACCGCGCACACCTCTGGCAAAATGTTTTGGCAGAGAACAGCAGAGAGCTGATCTTGGGGCAATTTGACGTCGACACAACACCGGAACAGGGATACCGGACCGCGGGAACGTCCGTTGATCGTGTCCCAATGACTCAGTAGGTGGGCTAATTGAGGTTTTCGAAAAGTTGGCACCTCTTCGGCGGTATTTCTGGGACGTTCAGAAGGATCGTTTAGGCCTTCCTCCGGAGTGACGTCATTGGTCCCGCGAGGAGAACGCGAGTTTTCGGAGCCGGAGCGAACAGGGTCGAGGGTCCTCTTCCATCTGCTTCCTGAAGTGACGCACATCGACTTCGTCCGGCGCGTAATACACGCACTTTCTTGTTTATTTACAGCCGTGCGGCTTCCGTGAGCTCCCGGCCATGTCAGGCCGGGAAAATCAATAGAGTCCGCAGTGCGGCGAAAATTTTGTCGCCATCTTCGGACTCGCCTCGTTCCCACCTCGCAGCAGAAAAAGAAGTTCCAGAAAGTGACCCACCCTGGGAACTTTTTTCCAATGGGTTGTTTTCTTTGTGTTTATCGAAAATTCCGGGAAATTTTGGGGGTAAGTGGAGGAAAATAATAGGTGGTATCCGCGCAGGTCGGTAAACACTTTTCCCACCTGAGGCAGCTGGTGCTCAGGCTCGCCCCCGTACACCGGCGCACCTGTCAAAGCGGAGTTGATGGAATTTCTAATGACAACTCTTTCGGACCCTGAGAAGGAAGAGAATGGTCTTCCCGGTGATGAGGAAATTTGCGAGTCAAAAGATGTCTAGGATGTGCTGGACGTCGCCTCGACATGTTCCATGACCGGGGTGTCTTACAGAGAGAGAATGGAATATTAATTACGGAGAGGGAGTGATTGTACCAAATTAATTATCCGTCATGGAACTCGACACTGCTCGTAACTGGGTCGCTCCGAGGTGCACTTACTTCCGACAATTGTCATCCCTCTGTGTACACGTTACAGAATTCGTATCCGGGATTTATTTCTCACTGTTCTAGTTAAAAATGGAGTCGAAAAGTATTGTATAATTTTTTCTCTACGACGCATAGTTTACTTGTAATAATTAATTTAAGAATGGCCAACTAATTAGTTACGGCGTAGGTGGCGAAACATGGCCGAAGAGCGCTCGACTAGTCGGCGAGTTTGGTTGACTATTTTTCAATAATTTATTACAAGTAAACTATGCACCGTGGAAAAAAGTTGAACAGGACTTTTCGACTCCGTTTTGAACAAGGATAACGATGGGCTAGTCCCGATCCTGTCAGACATTCCGTAGTCTCGAATCCGGAAGGGAAACTCTTGGCAAAGAATGACGTTTCTTTTCTCCGGGTGGGAAATGTGGAGGGTCACTCGTGACGTCAAGATTGATATCCCCCGGGATTTCTCGCGGTCATCAGGGATTCTAATCCACGGCGCCCGTCCGGGGTCTCAGGGAAATTGCTGGAGGGTGTCTGAAGATTCTTCTTCCCCTTTCAGAGGTTCTGGATTATGCGAAGCGGCTGGGAATCGATCCCGATGCGGAACCGCACCTCTTGGACCTGGCGCGGGAAGGCCTCATGGCTGCCCTGCCGAAGGGGTGGCTACCCTGCTACCACGAGGCCACGGGGTCGTGGTATTATTACCAGGCCTCCACGGGTACCACCACCTGGGAACATCCCCTGGATGCGGTCTACAAGGAAATGGTGGAACAAGCCAGGAGTGGTAACCGACAGATGAGCGTCGGTACGACTAACAATGATATAATTAATTACTTCCTCGCGATATACGATTATTACAAACCACGAATACCAGAGGAAATTAAAAAATTTCTTTTCATAATTAAAATGCATTTTTTAATCGAAAACAGAGCGTGATCTCACAGTACAATTATAGAACTTAATACGTAGTCTTTTTTTTTATCACACCTCGCCAATTTTTAAATATATCTTGAGAAAAAAAAATTACATATTAAGTTCAATCATTGTACTATGAAATCACGCTCTGTTCTCGACTAAAAAAAAAATGCATTTTAGTTGAGAAGAAAAATTCTTAAATTTCGCCCGTGACCCCTTAAAACGGCGGAGACTTATTCCTCAACCTAATAATCTCTTCTTATCGTTATAAAGGTATCCGCGACATGAAGTACTCCAAAGTGACGATATTCTCCTCGGTTTGTAATTAGGCGGCGCAGAAATTCGCTGTCAAGGGCGTTAAATTCCGATGCTTCATTAAGGGAACATTATTCATGTCTGGAGCTTTGAGGCTGAGGAGGATTACGTTCACTCGACTTTTTATTATGTGGATATTCGTCCTGGGAGACGCAGGGCGCGGTTATGAGTGACCATTACCCGGAGGATGGTATCGATTAGTATGCAATTATGCGCATCCACGTTGTTTAGAGCTCGTGCGAGGACACTTCAATCTGCGACTCGCGAGTTGCGATCGTTAAGGCAGCTTCGGTGCTTCTTACGTGTCAGCCACTTACTAGTCCAAGTGTTTAATGGATCGTCGGATCTATCCAATTACGAGTCGGATCGATAATACGCTAGAGAAATTGAAGCACTTGGTGCAGTAAGCCAGAGACGAAGGAAATACGCGGTCGGAAGTATGCAGAAAAGTGCCTCCAGTTATCCGACCCGCCATTTTGGATATTCCCATGGTAGTAACTTAGCATTGCGTGACATCGCATACGTTGCATAGATTAATTACGACATAACAACATTAACGGGACATTAAACGTATATAATTAGTGGCCGTAGGTGTTGAATTACAAGTAGCGAATATTCCGATCCAATTGTAATGTGGGGTTAATTTTTAAGGGATGGGAGGATCGACGAATGTAGATAATTGACTTTTCCGTTTTTCCTCACAGAGGATGATTCCAAGACGACGGCCAAAGATCTGGAGTCCCACGAGGAGGCGACTTTGCCGAAGGAGACGCCTCTGAAGGAAATCCCGAAGCCGGCCTTTCCTCAGTCGAAGATCCCCTCTAAGTTGGCACCCTTGAAGAAGAGCAAGCTGGGCGCTATCAGCAAAAGGGACTCGTCCTTGGAGAAGCTGCAGACCAAGAGAGACGACTCGAAGACGGAGAATCCGAGCAGTCTGGCGAACGACAGAGCTTCCAGGGATTATACGAACCTCAGGTTCCAGGACCCGCGATTTTACGAGCGTCCGAAACTGCTGGACGAGGCGGAGAAGAAGGAGCTGGACCTGAAGGAGGTCCTGAAGAGGTCGGAGTCGATGAGCCCCAGGTACGAGAAGGACTGGGAGCAACTGTCCAGTAGGTTCAGCTCCGAGGAGAACATCATCGACATCGACAAGCTCAGCATCAGCTCCCTGACGAAATCGGACAAGCCTCTGGAGAAGCTGACGGAAAAGTTCGACAAGGAGAAGCACCCCAAACAATTGGGCCAGCAGAGAGAGCTGACCCTGAGCGGGGGTGGGTCCATGTTCCTGAAGAGCAACAGAAGCAGAGATACCACGCCTAGTCACGAAGTCTGCAGAATGGAGGACTTTCAGACCTCGATCAGAAACGAAGGTGCCGGAAGCATGGCCGGAGAGAAGCCGAAGTCGATCCTCCGGGAGAAGGCGTCCGAAGATGGTAAGATAGGGCCTCAGACATTTTTCCATAACCTATCCAAGCCCCGTGGTATCGCAACAGAAGGGTGGAAGTTGACTTGACGTTCCCCTCGTTTTCAATTTCCTCAAACTTTAAGCGCAATGATTTAGACTCGGTCCATGCGCCGCAAATGGAGCTCATCGTCATTTGACGTCCCGGTCGCGTTTCAGATTTCTGGAGGTCTCGAAACTATTGCTTATGCCCTCTTGCCGTGAAACCACAGTCACTTTCGAATGGCACTAAAACCTGCATTTCATTTAGCGAACACCTTATTGTAGACGACAGACCTGCGGACGAGGAGCGAAAAATCGTGCGGTTCGACCTGGACAAGGAGGTCTTCATCAAGTTCACGTATTCCGGATCCGAGGAGGAGTGGGACTCCGGGTCGGAGGACCACATCCCGACCGCGACGGTTCCAGGATCGTCCTTGATCCCCGGGAAAGAGGACCTCGTCATGGGGTCCTCGACGGAGAACAAAGAGGAGGACTCCGCCAGCAAGGAGTCGGATAAGAAGGTGCAGGAGACCCTCCTGGACAGACTGGACACGTTCCTGAAGAGGCCGAAGGTTGTGGGCAAGCGATTCCTCGTGGAGAACGTCTCGGAGAACGAACACCTCAGCCAAATGTCTCGAGACCGATCCGAAGAGCTGGACAGCGACTACGTCCCGAGTAAATTCGAGAACATAAAGAACATCGACCTGATGTCGAAGAGCGACACCGATAGCGGGCCCAAGAGCAGCGAGTCCAAGTCCAGCATGCTGGAGGAGATCCGGAAGAGCAAGGAGATCATGCTGGAGACCATGAAGAAGTCCGACCAGAAGATGAGGCAGGAGATGCAGCGAGAGAAGGAGGAGACCTACCACTTGATGAAGATCAAATACGACTTGGAATCCGCGAGGCAGGATCGAATGCAGCCGGTAAAGGACCTCGAAGAGGCGAAACTCGAACTGAGCAAGAAATACGAACGAAACCTGGAGTCGATGAAGAAAGACCTCGAAGAGAGGCTGGAGGAGACCAGGAAGGAGCTGGAGGAGAATTTCCATAAAGAAAAGAGGTCCCTAGTAGAGGAGTCGCTAACTAGGCTCAGGGAGCTGAAGACTGAGATGAAGGACAGGGAGGAACAGGAGATCCATTGCTTAATTTCTGAGATGGACCGAGAGCGCCTGGAGAACCTGAAGAAAGTCAGGGGGGAACTGGAATTATGCTACGAGAAAGAGAAGCAGGAGATCCTGGCGAACCTGAAGAGCGAACTCGAGGAGAAGAGGAAGGCACTGCTAGACCTTCGAAATCAGGAAATCGAGAAACTGGAAAAAGAACACGAGCGCCATTTAAGCGAGGATAAACTGGCAAAACTGAACGAGTACGAGCTCAACGAAAGACACAGTGAACAGATCGAGACCCTGAAGAAGGAACTCGAGAAGGAGCTCGACGAGTTGCGGACCGAGCTGAGGACCCAGCAGAGGGAGAAGATCTCCAAAATGACCGAAGACCATGAAAAGTGCCTAGCAGAGATTCTTCGGGACTTCAGAATGGATGTTTGTACACGTAGAGAAATTTTACTTGCTTAAAAAAAGCTTTAAACACTTGAAAATGGGCCAGCCAAATTCTTCTTCCGGAAACGTTTCCATTCGATACGACTGATATATTTTTTTTTTCTGTCGGTGCAGTTATCCCTGCGGCAAAGGCAAAATTTTATAAGCATTTGTCGACCCTTTGCTAAAAGGGTAAATGTCTTTTTTCAGGAGAGCTTGGCTCGCAAAGTTTACAAGCAACGACTAGAAGAGATCAGAGCAGACTTTTCGCTGGACATCGACAGAGAGACGAAGAAGCAGAACGAAAGGGTGGCGCGGCAAGAAAGCATCGATTTCGAGAAAATCCGTTGCGAGAAGCGGCTACTGGAGGACAAGTACAAATCATTGAAGGAGAAGTACCTGAAGCTGAAGAACAACATGAGATTGGCTGTCGAGAGGAGGAGCAAACGAAGGGAGGGCAACACTACGGCGTCGGAAACCGAGAAATCCACATCGGCAAGGACAAGGACGGAGATAACCGACTCATCGGAACAGAAGTAAGTTTCTCTCTACCATCGTAAATGTAATCGGTCACTTTGGAAAGAAAATGGCTGGTATCGAAAAGGAAAGTAACGAGGGATCAAAGTATAATCCGGGATCCATGAAGACTCCGTATTTTAAAAATCAATCCCCATTTCCTAACAAGCCCCTTTCCAAAGTTAGCGATTCAATAAATGCATTTTTGGCATCCTTTAGTGCGTGAAAAAGAAATTTCTACCATTTCATGAAGTCGCCCTCGCATCATGGCTCTCACCAGATTCTTGATTTTTTAACAAGACACCAAGCTTCACTTAACACCCGGGACATGATTCGCAGCTCACGGCCATAGAAAGAAATCCACATCCACACAATACGCAATTAACCAGATTTTTCATACCTCTGCACCGTAATTTTCAATAACTCATCAAAGTACCTTCACGGTCAAGAGCATACGCTTTTGGGTTTCGGAATGCGCTTAGCTGCAATCCCCGTGGTAATGAGATTAACAATCGTTAGGACTAATTTCATCGACCTGACCCCTTGACCGGCTCGAGTGACTCGACTTCTGATTGGCTCATGTATGTTTCATATTTAAAACTGATCTCAATTAGCGTTATTAAATCCGGTAACGCGAGGAATCAAGAGAATGCAGGGAAGCGCGTTGTCGACATGTCCGTAAAGGTACTCCCTCATGTCCATGCGATTCGTCCTAATATTTGGCTATAGGCCTTAACGCGTTCCTGTAGACTGCTGAAGAAGGCGCACTCCACCCTGAATCCGAGCCAGAAGAGCAAGGAGCAGGAAGTCGAGGACCAAAGCGGTGCCGAGGATTCGGAGGGCCAAAGGACGACCACGGGGTTTCCAAAGCCCGGCAGGAGCGGCGCGGGAAAATTCGAATCGGACGACACCACGACGGCCAGCGAGACCAACTCGAACCTGAAGAAGCGGAAGAGCTTCTCGAAGAAGGCCGCCAGCACGACGAGGCTGAACAACAACGTCGAGAACCCGGTGGAGAACATCAGGAAGCAGCTGGAGAAGCTGGAGGACCTCGGGGACCAGTTGCCGAGTAACGAGACCGCTTACACCTTGCGATATCCTTTCCAGGACAAAGGTGAACCCCGAAAGGATCCCCCTATGCACCGAGAACTGCATTCCGGCCGCCGATTTCTGTGCACCTCGACCGAGAGACTTGATTTTCCTCACTACTTCGCCACTTGTCTAGACCTTGCATTACGCTCTATTTTCTTTCTTTTCTAGGATACTATAGACTTTACTTTGGTTAATGACTTGCCACTTTCGTCCACCCTTCGTAAGTGCCACGAGAAAATAAGAACCGTCTTCCTTAGAAAGAAGACGCGCGACCGACTGCATGTATAGGCTTATCGTAATAATTCTGAAATTCCCATAATTAATTGGGAGTACTTACGGTACATAATGTACGTCCTTAAGTGACTACGGAGTCGTAGATGAAGTCGCTGGTGCGTCTTCGAATTTCTTTTAATTAAACTCTCCGACCATTGCATGACCATTTAAATAGGCAATCGGTGCTAAAGATACGCACGCGTGTTTTGTTCGTCCGGATGACGAATTCTTGTAGGGATTGTCATTATAAATCTCTGATATACGTATCAATCTATGTACATATCTCTATCATTTGGAAATTCACGTTCTCTTCGCACGCCTTCACGTCGTTTGATTTCTTCTCAATTTGTCGCGCTAACATTTGACTTTAATGATTTTGCACGTTAATCATTACCTGATTAATGAGGCACGAATTCGGCGTTCCAGCACCCGCTAATGCTTCCTCGGAACTGGAGTTCTTCCGGCATCGCATCCACGTGGAGAGAGATTCCATGAGGAGAGCTCGCGAGGCTTTGCGGCAGCAACGAAGTGCTTTCCAAGGCAGGCGAAGAGCCTGGAAACAACGAAGTACCTGGGCGACTCTTGAACAGCTGGTTCAGGTGAAACAATCAATAACAACCCTAATAAAATACTCGATCGGAACGAACCGCGTTGATTTACGGAGAAAAAAACCATGCGTCACAACAAGAAATAGCACTTACCTCCACAACCATGACCGCTTGACAATGACCAAATGTCATTTTTTTTCACCGTTTGTATAAGTTCATTTGGAAATTAAGCAAGGACTTTTTTAAGGGAAGCTCCCTAATGGTTACATGTAGGTTCTAGATGATTGAAAATATTTTTCTGGGTGGATTTGAAGGTATGATAACGGGCTCGAAAATCTCCCGCAGGAGGAGAGGGAGCTGTCCGACATGGAGGTGAGCTTGCACCGCACCAGGAGTCTCCTGGGCGAGAAAGTGATCCACCTGAAGCACCTGGAGCAGTCCCTGGAAAGGGTGGCCAGGGCCAAGAAGGGCGACAGCGACTCGGCAGCCACGAAGAACGACGAGCTGACTTTGAGCGACATGTCCAGCGCCAGCAGTGGATTCAGCTCTACCGATCTTGGCACCGACACCTTCATAGGCAAGCGTCTATTTCGGTAGATCCCGACGTTCGCAGGAACGTCGGTCGGCCCAGTTCCGATCGCTCTTGAGCCTGTTCTTTCTTCAAGCAGACAAGCCGGATCACTATCAGGAGTCGACGGAGATCATAGCAAGCCTGGAGAACCTGAACTCGGAGATCCGCGAGATCTGGGGAGTCCTGAACAAGCGACAGGACAACAACATCCCTCCACCACCGACGCTGATGTACTCGGACCTCGGGTGGCTTCCGTACCACCATGTGACCTCCCAGCCGAACAATGTGCAAGGTTGAAGGAAAACCTTCCCCGAAGTCCAGGAACCACGGTTTCTTCGGTTCTCCTCCAGACTTTCATTCAAACAAACCATTTTGTAACCTCGACTCTTCCGACACGCTCTCGTGTGATCGATGATTAGGTCATCTTAAATGGAAACAATCTAGCCTGAGAGGAGAATCAAGAGTCCTGGGTACATGAACTCCTAGTTATATCGAGAGATTCAGCCGGGAATTATACAAGGCACGGCGAAAATACAATTAATTAGAATTTACAGAGAGTCATAATCACGGTGAGAAGGGAATCGGATATAGAACTGCAAGGGTTTTCGCCGTACCCTCTATGTACATCGCTCATCACTGAAATCCCTTTTTTCTCTTCGGCAGCCTTCGGGACCCCGAACATCCAGTCGAACATCCTGTCCCAGCTGACGGGGGCGCATCCGCCGACGACCGCCACGCAGAACATCATAGCCCAGTATGGACCCAACAGCGGATACTCGACCAGCGTGGGAACCGTCGAGAGGACAGCCTCGAACCTGATGGAGCGAACAAGGAACCTCAGGGACTGGCTGCGACAAGCCCGAGTGGAGAGCACGGACCTGGTCAGTCCGGGTCAGGCGACCCTGTAAATCCAGCCCCGACTGGACCCTCCTCTTCGAGGTCCACCAACCCCAGACTTCCGCACAAAAAGGAGAAGGACCCGCCGCTGTGGAAGCGCATCTGTCGGTTCCTGCTGATGGCCGCGCCGGTGCCAAGACCCAGGAAACGCCATCACCTCTCCAGGATGGGCTGAATCAGCTGATCAGCTGATCAGCTGATCGGGAGACAGACTCGCGCAAACATGGATTCTCCGACTGATCTCGACTCCTAAGTTCCAGGCAGGCCAGGGGAAGTCTATTCGCTGGTCGGATACTTCGTCCCGAGGGATTTCGTGGTCTAGAGGTCGATCCTCGAATTCCTACGGATTTTTATTTCCCATAAAGAATAGAGTTGTATGACAAATTTTTCATTCATCCGAGCTCGAGTCATTGGTCAACGTTGGTCAACGTGTCAGTGGTCAACAACAAAGCCGTACACGAGACTGTCAGTCTCGCACGCGAATGATATCCATTTGAACTCGAGAATCCAGGACCTGGGCTCCTCTTCTGGAATTCCCTAGATCAAGCTTCGCATGGGAAATTGTCCAATTTGTTATACGACTTGCAAACGTTGACCGATGACTCGAGTTTGCAACAATGGGAGATTTTTTCATGGGAATCTGTTCCTACGGGAACGAGATCCGTGTAAATTCGAGGATGGGGTTCCTGGTCCCAGGGGAACCAGGGAACTGGAAGGGTAGCTCGCGCAAATGGCAGGTCGTTCGGTATCGTTCTGTTGGGTCGTGGAATACGTTCCCGCCGCTTTTAACATAAAGTAGCGCAATTAAGACGGCCGCAACTTGTTCCTCGACCTGATGTTTAGGGTGATTTAGGGGTACCTGGAAGACTGATGTCCAAAGCCTCGACCCGGGATGAAAAGCGAAGGACCCCCGGTACCTCGACGCTTTTCATGCCGCATCGAGAGCGCAGTCGGTACGCACTTTTGACTACTTTTTCAGAGGTTCTTTAATAGTTAAGTTCGCGTTTCCGTTTTGAGGTAAGACCTTCGAAGCTCGGTTCGGCCTCGAGTTCAAGTTAATCCCCGATTTGATGCGTGCCTCCCCTCTCGTATACGACTTTACGTGGGCTCGAGACCTCCTAACTCTCTCGACGCTGGATATAGTCATTCCGGTACGGTGGATTTGTACATTCTTATGGTGTCGAGGGCGGCTCAACGTCCTCCTCATCGGCTACCCGAGGGGACTGATCGAGTGTGGAATAAATCTCTCTCTTGTACATAATGCACAACTAAATCCGTTAGTCCGACGTATATTTTCGAGATTGATTTTGTTGAGGAATGCTATGTAATATACGTATATGCATATATCGATTATAGTATATTTCAGATTATTTATAGACGTAAACGTCGATATATTCTATACTGGGTTATGTCATCCGATGTGAGGCGATACGTAACAATCTCCATCCGTATTTTCGTTATCTGCAAGAGGCGTGAAGAGTCTAACAATTGGCATCGATTGCGTGTAATTAAGAGTCAAGTGCGACCGTTCAATTAACTCGCCTTTGGAAAACGGTTGGGGATATTAAGTTGACATGAAAGGGTCATTCTATATATTATATATATATTAAACGTCAAAATATTTTTATTATTTTTCTCCGAACTGGGGACACGGAGTCATTTGAAACTTCAACGCGTGATTATGAAGGCCCTAAGGAACTTGTGAAATTTCAAAAAGAAATTTTTTTATCCCAATTTTATTTATGGTGCGTCCAGTTTGGAGGAAAATAATATAAATGTTTTGAAGTTCGTCATGTATGGATTAACCTTTTTATGTCGCCTTAATTGGAGTTTTTGATGGACGATTCATTCCCTGCAGAAAGCGCAATTCGTAAAAGATGATGCTCGGGATCGCGGGGTCCCGATCGAGAGTCCATAATCGATATCTAAGGTAGAGACGATTTACCTGAGAATGGTCCTTCCATTAATATTTGTCGATCTAGTGCTAAATGTTCGATCGCGTCCCTGACAGGACCCGTCTCAGAACGACAGACTTGACAATTCAAATGCCAAATTTAGAGCGAACCGCATATTGTATCCGTATTTAATACTAGTCGGAGGGAGTCCCTCGCATTATTATGCCAAACTTTCCACGAAGTAGCGAGCTGTAGTTACACGATACGAAATTGCGCTGGTGTATTGACTAATTGACTAGGTGATGATGGGGGAAAAAGACTAAACAAAAAAAGAAAAACCGAGGACGAGACCCCAGGAATCTCGGATCGTGTAACGAGTAGTCGTGTAGACAGTCATAAATCAGACCCATGTAGACTAATCTTACCGATCGAATACTCTAGAATTGAGTCATTAACCTAAATATTTAGCCGGATCATGTATTACGAGTTGGAAACTAAATAGTATTCTGTACTTCGCCGTACAATCGAGTTTAGCCGGGAACCATATGCGGCCATTTCCTTGTGGGATTAGAAGCACCAAAAAGTCACTAGCGAGGCGTGTTTCGAGGAAATGTTTACGGTAGTGTTTAGCGTTGGCCTCGCAAACTCATGTATCGATTATAGGGTTTCTAAAGGTATTTGCAAATTGTCTCGTAGGGACGGTTTCCTCGATCGTACCGAGAAGTAATTCTTCCTGTAGCGTGTTCGAAACGATACGTGTCGCCATCCCATGAAGGAAAATGCTCACGTTGTTAGGAGTAAACACATCGAAATTATTTTCATCATGATGTTCGCAATAAAATTTATTCCACGATTAATTAATTCTAACGAGGTGTTCGCTCCTCACGTTTCCGGGAACAATTCGCAGTCGCGGTGGCGAATCTCGCAGGACTCGGAGTTATCCTCGAACTCCTCGATACGCGGAAGCCAGGAGGATATCCCTCGGGATTTATGCCCAGTTTCGTTTGTCAGTGACCTCTGAACAGCCCAAATCACTGGAGATGATTTGCATACCAGAAGTCGGATGCAAGAGGAGTCGAATCCGTCGAGCCTGTCGATCAGCTGATTGGGTAGTTCCAAGTCCTGCGCCTGTCTCAGCAGTCTCTGTATCTGAATTTAATAACATTTTCATATGTTTAAACATTTCCATAGGTCTGTATCGACGGAAGATCCTGACGACTGTCTCTAAGCCTTACTCTTTCATTTTTATTTTCAGTTATGAACTTCATGGGATCCGGCAGTTCGTCCAATTGCAGACTCCTCCCGTGTTCCGCCTGGGGCTTCAGGTCGAACAGTGAACTGATCTGGAAGAACATTTATGGAATGAAAAACCAGGAATCGCGTTACTTGATCTTCATAAAGGGAATCCGAAAATTCATACCAACTGTGCCAAGAATATTGCACTGTTCACGACGATCGCTCCGATCTTTGTAGAGTCCACGCCGAGGAGTCTGAAGAACCCCGATACCAAATTACCAGTTCCGAATTTCGTAGAGGGATCTGGTTCCCTTTTATCGTTCCTCCTGTTCCCGTGACCCAAGCTTCTCGACACCAGGTCGGCAATTTCTTTGGCAGTTTCCAGGTAACTCCTCGCATATCGAATCCCAGCCTTGATGTTCTCTACCACTCCTGTTAAATACATTGCAGCGTTACCAAAGTTAATATGTACATCCACTTGATCTGCAGTTTCCGTGATTACCTGCGACACAATCGCCCTGGATTTTGACTCGTTAGAGCTTACCTTCATTTTCAGCTTGCACTTTCCCTGCAATCACCAAGTAACAGAGGATAAAGGTGCAGTACATGATACCGGAGCTCGACATCCTCGAGGGAGGAAATCTCGAGAGTGACTGAAGTACTTACTATTCTAACGGGTGTAAGAATGTCCATTACTTCCTTTATTTCAGTTCAGGAATTCCTTCTTCCGTGAACGTGTCCTCCTGGTCGGTGCTCTTCTCGCTTTGCCAGCCAAGCACGGAAAGCGGGGTGCCATTTTTCTAGGTAAATGTCACACCGGCCAGTCAAGTCTAAGAGTTCCCGAAGAACGGTGTCACGCTAAAAAGATCATTACGCATAGAAAAATTAATTGCTACGTGATAACGCGGTCTAGATTAATTCCCGATGATTGGTAACTCGCTTTTGGTGGTGCTGTGCACGTGTCAGGGCTTTGCAATGGCGTTCAATGAGAGCTCTCATTTATTTTTCGACGAGGTGCGAAGCTTGAGCGAACTCCCCATGGACAGATTGATCCAGATCAAATCATCCTTCGGTGGTGATGACGGTAAGATAGCAGCAGCCATGGGAATGACCTATACGGGGAATAATAAAATGTTGGTCTCTTTACCATGGTTGTTAACAAGAATTCCATATTTTTAATTATAATATTCTTAGCAGTTGTAGAAGACGCTGATATATTCGATGAAGAGACCGTGTCGTCAAACTTACCAGCTGCTCTTCCTCTTAAAAGACTGGGCCAGAAACCTCTGCGACGATACGAGCACCAAGACCATGAAAAAGGACATGACTCGAAGATCTCGAAGATTTTCCAACTTGCGGTGACGACCCTCTCCTTCCTAGCTTTCGGGGGCTACCTATTAACATTAATAATAACTGCCATCAGACAGAATGCCAACAATGGCAACGGAAACGTCATTGTCCTCTCGGTACATATACCTTCCCATTTATATCTTTTTTACAAAGCAATCTTCAACAAATCCCGAAATTATTCTAGAGCTTGCAGAAGTACAGACCTAAGAGGTCCATTTTCCTGAATCCTGCTGATAATGACTTCGACACGGACAGATTGTACCAGGGGATGGTTATGCTGTCACGAGGCTACGCATTGTATCACAATAAATAAGTGTCGGGAATATTATACAATTTCTAATAAATATTTATATCTCCTTTCAGTTACGTTTTTTAATACGTGGGTCATCTCTCTCCGAGATAAGCTCCCGTTTCCTGACCGAATTTCTCGCCCATTTCCGGGTTCCTGAAAGCCGACAATCGTCACGCTTGTCACACGAGGAAATCACGCCATAGCATGCCGAGAAATGGACAATGCGGCAGGAGACAATATTGTAATAAAAAATCTTTCTTATCACCGCTGTTTGTTTTTTTTTTTTGGCTTTTTTTCCAGTGTCTCAAACGACGCGACGTCCTGCCGAGCTCCGCGGGCGGTCCAACAGGATGTTAAAGGAAAATCCTTAATTAACAGGAATCGGAGAAGATTTCCGCACATACATAGGCGATGCAGAAAATGTGCGAAATTATTCCCGATATTTTGAGCGATACAATGTTGCTGACAACTGAGATTCGAGCGACTCCTGGGGTAGGATTAAATATGGACGTTTGTTTAAACTGGATTTTCCGGGATATCGCTCGGGGAAATTCTCTGTGCTGGCCCGAATTTTCGGAGGGCTATTGAATATCCTAAAACCTAATAAAATCGAATAGAGGCTCGAAGTGTGTACAAATCCCGAAGAATATTCCTGGTGCACGGGTATAGGCTGCTTCAGAGATGGCTCGTCAAATAAACATCTAAGTGACTGTATACACCGAGACTCGTATACAAAGGAAACCATATGGCCCCGGGGGATAAAATCGGACTTTTCCGCTTTAAATCAGTCAATCCGCGAAACCATCAGAGGAGTTGGTGAGAGCATCGGGGTTCCAATCACTGAATTCGTAATAACGTTCCAAGCAATCTCTTATATGTCCCATTTCTAAATATAAATTCTAATATTTATGAACATAAACAATTAAATTGTAATAATCATTTAGAGATGAGCAGTCTGAATAAATTCCCTGGAAAATGGCCACTCTTGGTACCACCTATGAACAATTGACATCGAACATCGCATCGGGGTTGCAATCACCGAATTTGTAATAAAGTTTCCAAGTGAACTTTTATGTATCCCATTTCTAAATATAAATTCTAATATTTATGAACATTAAGCGAGTAAATTGTAATAATCATTTAGAGATGAGCAGTCTGAAAGAATGCCCTGCAAAATGGCCACTCTTGGTACCATCTATTAATGATTGACATCGAACCAATGCACTGCTCGAGCGATGTCATAAATGTTTCAGGCGAATAATCAGGTAATTATTACCATTGATAGAAAGTGGAGGTATTTTCTAAACCAGCCAGAATAACCCTTTAAAAATTTACTGGCGGAGTAGATTCTGCTCCGAAACAGTATGCCGCCTGTATTTGTTTTCGCAGCATCCGAGAGAACATCCTGCTGGACCGTTTCTCTTGGCGTCCCTCCCACCACATTTTCGAAGACCAATCCGGAGGCAGAAGATCTTGGTGCTTGAAGATGATTTTTCTCAAAGGAGAAATTTCTACTCAGCAGGCTATGAGGTGTACTCACTCGATCTCGTACACTCGTTAGAATCATCCCTGAACTCGCCATGAATTTCCGAAATATCTCGGCTTAATTCCACGGCTACCGGAATTTAAAGATACTTCTCTGATTCGATGATTTCCCGACTCTGCTCATTACCTCCTCCACCCACGAAGAGACATAAAATCTGTGCACGGTGATTCCCAAGTGGTGGACTTTTCGGAGTGGAAAATCGATCAACCGTTCTTGGCATAAATGGTCAATCCCCCGAAATCGGATTCCGTGGTTTACCTAGAAATAAATTGTTCACGTGAAATTCGGTGGAAATTACAGTGTAAGAAGGTGCGCCAGCCTCCGAGAAGATTCTGACAGCAAACGTCAAAATGGACCACGTGGGTCGAGGGAAGTCTCAAGATCGAACCGCTTCGACGACGGTCGGAGGGACATTTTAGCTCGAAATCTGCCGATATTTTCGGGAAACCAGCCATCCAGGTGACTTTCAAGGAAGCTCTTTAAAAATGGATCACCTGGATACGAGATTGGATTCCGAGACGAGCAAGTCGAAGTCTCTGAAATTCGGCGTAGAGAGGATTCTCTCCAGCGAGTTCACCTCGAAGAAGACAGGTGAAGAATGTCCCCTCCTCGTATCCAGCTCTCGGATGTACAGTCCAATGTTGACATTTTCTTTCGATTTGCAGATCTCATCAGAGTCCTCCCAGTGCAATGCAATTTCTCGTCGATGTGTCCCTGTCCAGGGAATTGCCCGCGATGTGAGATCTTCCGAACTGCACTTCCAGCATCGCAGTCCCCAATCTCGCCTGCAATCCCCATGGCCAACTTTAGCATAACAGAAAGTTATGGCAATTTGTACAGGCCTGCCCCGATTCGGCCAATCGCAAGAGGTAAGGAGCTTCCCCAATTAATTAACAATTAATTCACTGGATCACTCCCTCCAGTTTAAGGTGATATGAAAAGTGGCGTCAAAGAGTTCTCACTCATGAAACATTTCCCCAATCCGGATGTACCGAATCGATTGAAACTTTACACCATAAATATGGAGGATACAATAGAGGTCCTGAAACTCATGAAATTTCAATTCTTTTATTTTTTTAATTTGTCTATAGGTATTTTTAAAATTTGTTATAAAACATGAAATGAAACATGTCAAGTCCTTCCTTATAGCGTCCACATTCACGTTGTAAATGTTTGACCGATTTTCGGAGAGAAGTTTCACTTTTGTATCACCTTAAAAAGATCCTGGAGGTCCTCTGCATTCATAGAATATCTTGAAGATCGTGTTAATTTCTTGAAAATCGCCTCGGAATGAGATTTACAAGATATAATTCATTTAAGAAAATTAGGGAGCGCTTTTCATGTTATTCACCCGGGCTATTAACGGTGAGGGTTGCGTCATTAACAAATGCTACCATACGGTCTACCGTCTTGTCTCTTTGGGCCGCGACAAGTAGGGCAAAATATTTAGGTACGAGTGTATTCTCGTGTTTCCTGTCTGTGTTTAAACGACATCTTAAGTGCCACTGTGCGTTTACGCCGGGTGTAAACAGTGGTTGCTAGAGACGCCTCTCGAGACGTCAGTCCTCTCTCGACTCCACTTTGAGCAGATTTTTCGAAGCGCATCCCCGTCATTAGGCATCCCCATACTAAGACCTCTCATTTACGGGGGATCTTCAGGATCTGAAACTGAAAAAAGAAAAAAATAAAAAGCTAAAAAGTCTCACATATTGCCACGTCGCACTTAGACCTTACCTCAGAATTACGCGGAAAATAAACGCTAGCCATCACTCGCAGGCTTGAAACCCAGGGAAAATAATAAATCGGCGCCTTTTACGACCGCAATTTCATGAACCTACTTAACAACATAAAAATCCCCGATGTGAGAAAATGCAAACACCGAGTCGTACTTGTACGTAAACCCGCATACAAAATGTTGCACGTAGGGCAAGACGTAAACCTAGGGATTATGCACTGCAATCCTACTAATAAAGTTCGAATACACCATGGCATTAACAAGAGTCGTAAAGAGTTTAACGACTACTTCTATCGAATTTCATCGTAGAGTCATTCCTGAGGATTTCTTAATTGCCCTCCAGGCGGGAGAGCAAAGAAGAAAGAGAGGGAAAGAGACCGAGCGTTTGTGTAAATTATCAAGTCATTAGGGAAACTCGTAAAATTATAAATATCCGCCGGCGGTCCAATTTGTAGGAAGGATCGGCCGGGACCGAGGGAACCACACTGTTTAAATTCGTACACATGTTGTATACTTTGGCGCGGCTGTAAATCAGCCAGAAGTGCCCCATCTTGGGGTCGGACCGTACGGGGAATATCCGTTTAAACAGACACCCCTTTAGCTGGAACTTCTGCCTCTTCCACTCGTGTATCGTTTCCCTAATGCGACGTATTGGATTCCAGTCCCATTTACGTGCTTACAGGTCTCCTTTTTCAAGCACTACCTTGTCCTGGCACGCGACAGCATCTTCAAAAGCCCTCCATTTTGTTCATTATTATTACTCCGCAATTATCTCGTTAAGGGGATGTCAAAGTGGCATCTGAACAGCCAGTCGTTCATGATACCTTTCTCCGAAACAGATATACAGAATCGTTTCAGATTTTATAATATGAACATTGAGACTATAAAGAAGGTCCTGACAGTCATGAAATTTCAGTTTTTATCAGAAATATTGAAAATATCCATAAAAAAAATTGTTAAAAAATTGAAATTCCATGTCAGGACTTTCCTTATACCTTGCATGTTCATATTTTCATGTTTCAAATGACTCGGTACACCCAGTTCGATGAAAAGTTTCATATGCGAGACGTCACTTTCACATCGCCTTAAGTTCCTGGGGTCTCGAGCACCCTAAAACCCCATCAAATTTTTTGTTTATAATCGTTAGGAACTTATTGAATTAATTGATAAGCCGAATTTGAAGTAACTTTTCTGTGATTTCTCTTTGTAGCGGCTCCACCGAGTACACAGACTGTAATGAGCACACCCGAAAGTGGTGTACGTAGGAAAAGGTCGTGGTCGAGAGCCGTATTTAGCTCCCTGCAGAGAAAAGGTCTTGAAAGGAGGTTTTCTCTACAGAAATATATCACGAAACCTGACAGGCGTCAATTGGCCGCCACCCTTGGGCTTACGGATGCGCAGGTACTTATTTCATATAAATAGCTGATAATGATTTCTCGTCGGCGCTTTGATCTAAAATTAATCGAGAGTGAATATAAATGCGCAGGTAAAGGTGTGGTTCCAAAATCGACGAATGAAGTGGCGACATACCAAAGAAGGTGGGAACGTCACGCCTGCCGATTCGACGCAGCGAGATTTCCCTCGGAAATCGGGAAATGATCCACCGGGAAATCTGACGGATGGACAACCTGAAGAAGATCTGGAAATAGAAGTGGACGTCTGAGATTAATTAGTTCACTCGAATGGGAGAACTGAACAATGCCGGACATTATATATCGATGTAGCTAAAACAACCTCGAGTGCTCTTCTAAAATTTACCTTGATACCAGATATAAATTAAATAATTACGATTAATGTGCAATTGCGAATGGGAGAAATTAATGTAGATCGAGTAAGATTCAATGTAACCATCTGAGAATTAGATTAAAATGGTGAAACGAGTACTACGTCAGGGTAAACACGCGTATCGAGTAAACTGGTCCCTCATTAATTCCATGAAAATGAAAGAAAAAAAAGGAAGACAACAGTCTTAGCTGATACCGACTCATCGATATTTACAGAACGTAGTAATTCACATCGTGGCGATCGTAGAAGGCATGGTCGCAAGATCTTCAATTAAGTCAATCAACTGGTTGCTGGGCAACGATTTTGTGCTTTCAGTTTTCACCCTGTTAATTCTTCCTCCGAGGTCAATTTTGGATCCTCTCATTAGTAGAGGAAAAGGTAAGTTAGAAGGAAATATCACTTCCTAGAATTACATCCACGGCTGTTCCAAGGTTAACCTCAGCTCCAGCTGAGACTTTTCCGATGACTGACCCAAGAAATCGCTCTTTTTCAGTTTTCACTGTTTCACGATGATTCGCCTGATTCCACGATGTGGAATTCCTCTTCGGAAAGCCGCTTTCTCTATCGATGGATGCGAGGCTCGTCGGCGACTGTCAAAGCTGACCAGTCCTTTGGAAGTTAAACGGCAAGAGTCCTTGCAGCTAACCAAAACAGGAGCATTGTGTAAGTAGTCCTAGCAGAAACGACAAAATCGTATAAGCTTAGTGATGTTTTTCCATTTCTCTATACCTCTTTCCGTTCCAAAGCTGCGACAATGGCTCAGCCCCAGCCGGCTCCGTCCTTACAAGGAAACCCCATCACCCGTTCAGAATCTCTTCGATTATTGGACTCGACCAGCGCTGATATTTCGGACACCTTCGACACTCCGGAGACGAAGATCCTCCAGGAAGTGAGCGTCGACAAATCCCCGTTGCCTTTCGAAGAAATCCCGGGCCCGGCGATCCTGAAATTCTGGGAGAAATATTGGAAATACGTGCCGCTCCTGGGTACGCAACTGTTTTGCAGTCTGCTAATCAACAGTTTTACTCAGGGTACGAGATCCTGTCGAAAGTTCGAAACTCGAATTCCTATTAACTGTTCGGCTATCCGAAAATATCCGAGGATAAATAAACGGGGAGAGTTGGAGGGCGCGTTAAGAAATGCAAAGTGCCTCAAGTCGAGCAGAAGCTCCACTTAAGCCTTGAGAACTTAGGTTGGATTTCTATCAAAACGTGGGATTGATTACGGGGTTCCAGGTCAATTGCATTGGAACCGAAACGTGACGCCGATGAGGTACCTGTTCAATCATTATGGTCCGGTCGTCAGGATCAATGGCCCGATGATAGGAGACGTCGTGATGATCCACAGGTAAATCCATGCTTGATGATCCATCGGCTGTCGAAGTCATTGATTTAATCGACCTTTACATCGACAGGCCTGAACACATCGCCGAAGTGTTCAAACAGGAAGGACAATCGCCTCTTCGAAGTGGGGTGGACATCCTGCAGCACTATCGGCTCCACCACAGGAAGTACAGATTCCCTGGACCATTCAACATGTTAGTTACTTTCCCAGCTTATTAAAAATCGAAGTACTTTAACGTTAAATTAAGGACTTTCTGATGTTCTACCTCGACGTTACCGTCATTTCCTCAGGGCAGGAGCGGAATGGCTGGAGACCAAGGCGAAGATAGAGAAGCCATTGGGGGAGCAACTTTCCTCGCATTTCGGCAAACTCGAGATGGTCTGCGACGAGCTGGCTCAAAGGATCCGCAGGATACGCAATAGGCAGGACGAGGTTCTCCTAGGTTTCTTAGACCATGCGAAAGTGTCTTGGCAGTAATTAAATCCCTGCAGCTTGAAGTACCCTCCTCTTGGTTCGCTTCTTCAGGTACATGCGACCTTCATCCAAGACCTCACTCGATGGGGAATGGAGTGCTTCTCTACTCTGATGTTCAACAAGCGACTCGGTTTCCTCGAGCCCGCCGGTTTTAATTCATCCTCGGAGTCTGCAAGGATCGTCGAAGCTTTGGGTGCAGCTCACGTGTATTTGGCTCGCTGTGAAACGGGCTTCCAGGTGTGGAGATTCGTCGAGACCCCATACTCAAGAAGGCTCTTCCAAGCGTGCGACGTCATCGATGGGTAAGATTTCCCACAAACCGTCATTATAAACTTCGTTATTATTCATTGCATAGGTAGCGTAACGAGTTATCCTTCGTTCAGTGTGCTTGGGAAATACATACGCCAAGCTCAGCGCAAGCTTCGAATCCTAGCAAGTGGGGTACAGGAAGAAAAGGTCGAAGAAGAGGGCTCTCCGATCCTGGAGAAATTAATCCTGGACCTGCACGTGCATCCTGACGACGTCTCGACGCTGCTGATGGACATGATCATCCTTGGAGTTCAAGCGGTAACTTGGTGTCTCCTTTATCTGGACTTTTTAGATCAATTGTTGCAGGTCTTGGTCGTAATTTCTTTTCCATTCTAGACCGCGAACTGCCAAGCATTCCTCCTGTATTTCCTCGCGAAGAATCCTAGAGCTCAAAGGACGCTTTATGAGGAGATCTGTGGCATCATGCCCACCCGAGGGTCAGCGTTAAGTGAGCAAGCCCTGAAGAAGCTGCCTTACCTGGAAGCTTGCTTGAAAGAGAGCCTCAGGTGAATTTCAACCTTCTTGCGGAACCGCATTCACTGCTTTACCTAATTCCCGTTTTTTTCTTTCCCCAAAGATTGCGACCATTATTCCCGTACCTCACCAGGATTCTTCAGAAGACAATAACGCTGCACGGCTACACAATCCCAAAAGGAGTGGGTTATCCAAAATTTCCTGCAAAATTAGACATACATCCCTGCGCTCAGTTTTAATATTAACAATTGGAACTTCCTTCTAGACTTACTTAATAATGGCCAATGAAATCTCGGCAAGTCGGGAGGAGAACTTCGAGGACCCGGAGAAATTCAAACCGGAGAGGTGGCTAAGTGACAACACTCAGGACAACTTCAATCAGAAATTCGGTTGCCTTCCTTTCGGCCATGGGCCTCGATCTTGCCTGGGGAAAAATATGGCGGAGACAGAAATAATGCTTCTCACGACTAAGGTATGGAAATGACCAAGAATGCGAAACCTTCATTACTTTTAGTACCGATAATGGGAATGATTGCAGCTCGTTCGAGAATTCAGAATCGAATACGACTATGCAGACATCGGAAGCAATTATTTGATGGTGAGCGTACCTGATAGGCCCCTTCGCTTCAGGTTCGTCGATAGGGATTAAATCCTCCTTTCGAGATCCTCGGGTAGCAAAGTACCGACTAGTCAAGGGATTGGTCACCAGCAATTGTTACTTGAAGCCAGCGCTCTTCCACGGGGCAAATATCAATTTGAAAGTAATACGTGCTGAAGAGGCTCTGTACAGAAATATCAGTATACCGAGAAAGAAATCCGCACACCCCCTTGCGTTTCTAATTAATATTTATTATTGTATTACGATAAGTGTGTTTCCCCGTTTTCTCTCTCGAATAAAATGTAACGACTTAATTGTCAATTTCTAGCACTCGGTGCTCCTGTAGGTCGACTAAGCGGTCACAGCCAAAAGGGTCATGAAATACGAAAAGCACGTGCTGAGAAACTAGAAAGAAATTTCAACGAGACATAAAAGAGGCATACCGGAATATGCTGATAAGTGTCATGATAAATACCAACCTGAACGTAATAATTCAACGAGAGAAGCGGTAACACGCCGCTTATTCTAATGACCAACGGTCTCTGACACCTCTGAATCATTATACGCAGATCTTTCTGGATTTTCGATGATTTGTTCATCCAGTCCGACTCGTAGATCGCCAATGCGAGCCTCTCGCTCTGTTTTCATTGTGACCATTAATAGATTTAAAAACCCAAGTATATGAGCAACAAAGAGTCCATTGGGAATTGTTGATGACGTACGGTTTCCTTCAAGTTGTCCGCTGCCCAAGCAAAGGCAAACAGTCGAAGGGCCGCAGCCATGACATAGAAGACGAACTGAGACATCACCAGCAAGGACTCGCGCTGCAATAGATAGAAATTTTCTTTAATGATCCTCGTAATCCCGGGAATTATGCAAAATTTAATCAACTTAGATACCTACTCGAATAAGTTGAATGCCACCACAGGCGACGGCGATGGTCATCGTCATTGGAACCTTAGCGATAATCAAACCGTGGGCTCGGCTCGTCTCTGAGACATATCTAGAAATGATGAAAGATGTGAACTAAGTTTCCCTAATTTGAACGTGTATAAAATATTCACGAAGAGTTAGAACCACCTAATTACGTGTTGGTGTTTCTTGATGCAGCGATGGAGGTCTGCTTTGGTATCGAATTCCCTAAACTCGGTCTCCAGCATCTCCAGTCTCGCTCCAGCATACCAAAAGAGGGTTACAGTGGTGATGTCGATGCCGATGCACATCCCACAGTGCAATACAGCCAGAGATTGGTGAAGGTAAACGACGCACCTGACGAAAATCCGATCCGTGGAGAAGGGATACCAGGCGTCCGCAGGAAGCGTCCTCGAGGTCAAAAGTGGTACGCAGCAGAAGGTGATTGCCGTCAGGATGTAAGACGAGGCCAGGAAAACGTTGAACGGCGTGTAACGGGCGACATACATCTGGAGAACGCTTTTCTCATGGGGCTGTGCCTTCGTCATGAAATTCCGGATTTCCGAGGTGAGTTCCTGAGAGGTCAAGCCAGAGTTACTCGAAAGGGAAAGTTAGAAGTCTCGTTCATAATGAAATCCCGAGGTCAAACCTGAAGTCGAGCCCTCTGCACCCTGCAAATGATGAGGTTCAAGACGACCTCCTCGAGCGAGGTCAGCTCCGAGACGGCCTTGGTCACTGTGGTGACGTCGTCTCGGAAATATCGAATGGCAAACGCCAGAGGAATCATCAGGAGAACCGCATTTACCACATATACGGTCCAAAATGCGTTGTTTAAAAAACGTTCCGTCCTTCCTGTCTTGGGATCTGGAGGCCACGCGCATATCAATTTGCCCAAAGTCCTTGTGAAATGGTAGGACCGTTCCGGAGTTAGAGTCATTTCTCAGGAACAATTCCTGGAGCCTTAACACGATCCTCGATAAAACGTACGAACCACTTTCCGAGGAATTGTCCAGACTTCCGCAGAGCCGAGCCAGGAAGTATTCCCGCGGTGCAAATCGATCCCTCGTTAATAACGAGGTGCGAACGCATTCTCGGCTGATTAATGGGAGGTCATCTCGTTGGATTATTCAAGTACCTCGGATGTACACCTGCAACGTTCATGATGAACCCCAAGTAGACTTAATACTCTATAATTTCCTTGGAAACTACTACCTGCAGATTACTGTTGTAGAGTCTGGCATATGGTATTCCCACGTTCCTTCCAACACGCCATCCCATTTTCTTTCAGCAGAGATCGCTAAAAGAAAAGCTAAACCGCGTCTGCAATCCTTCGTATTCGGGCGGTTAAACAAAAATTTGAATGGGTGCGTGGTTGTTACCTTTCCCGCCGCTAGATGGCACCGAGTGGGATTTTCATTTCCCTGCAACCCATCGGTAATATTATCCGCCGTGTCAGGAGCTACCCTCATTTCCCTGCAATCTACTTTACCGACGAGTAAGAACGCGTCCATCTCTTCAAAGATGGCGGTAGCGTTTAAAATCTGCAAGATGGAGTCTCGCGGCGCGCCCACGAGCTATTCGATAACGCTATCAGCTCTTATCAAGCCGTATCTCCTTCGAGGTAGGTTCTGCGTCCATAGAAAGTCCGAAAGTAGGTAATTTCATGGAATATGACTTTCGGTCAAGTACGTATCGAGGCGAGGCGCCACCGGTCCGCGACGGCGGAACGCAGTTTCGTGTTCTCCGGTGTTATGTAAAACCGAAGGACGGCGGCCCGCTAAATATAGAAACGCCCGAGTCACCGTCTCGCGTTTCTCACGGGGAAGGCTCTCGAGTTCCCGGCGGCGCCTCCGGTCAGCTATCTGACGCCGATCCGGGTGAAATCGCAGTCCCACCGAGCGCGTCACGGGTCGCTCAAAGCGCGGCGCGTCGACGCGTCGAACACGGATACCAATTAGAATGACAAGACATTGACATGAGTTCAAATGCATTTCCGATTGGTTTTTCATTCTCAACGCGTTGAGTCATATGACATATCTCTATATGACACCCGCCGCGCTCAGAGGGGGTCTGTCTCACCCAGAGTGCGGCGCATCATATGGAAAAGCAATTAACTGTGCACCTAACCTCTATGCGCCTTTATCATTTCCATCGGTTCGTCGTTATCGACGCTTTAACGCGCCGTATTCCGTGCGACGCCCGACGCGCTTGGTAGGGCTCTGTCGAAAATTCCTGGAAAATCTCTTCGGACGAGCCGCCACCTTCCGGAGATCGAGCAGCGGCCGATCGTCCGCGATCTGCGGTACCGACCAGCGAAATATTCGCCATTCCCCCAAGGTCGGCGCGCGCAGCGCCGCCGCGGCCGGCGAGCGAACTACTCGGCAGGCGCGCCGTCCCCTCCGCGCGTCCCTCTCCACAGGTCGCAGAATGTACGCGGGAGTTTCATCCCCGAAATTCCAACCGCCGAGTTCCAACTTCCACGAACTTACCGGAATGTCGTTCCGAGGGAGTTTCAGGTGAGGTTGGCGCGAAATTCCTGGAAACACCGGCGCCACCTACTGCCGGGGTTTCCAGTATCTAATCGGCTGGGACTAATTCCGAGCAATTTTTCGGCCCTTTCAGGCGGAGAAGAGGAGGAAGACCCGGGTAAGAGTCGAAGAGCCGAAATCGAGGTTAGGGCGATGCGCCGCGCGCGGCGGAAAGCATGCGTCGTCTGGTGGAGGTATATTGGCTTGGGGTAGGGCAGTGGAAATTTCCACTGTGCCCGCTGAGACGGTCAATACTCTCTCTCCGTGCTGTAACGTGTGGCACACGAGAACTCGGCCGGAGGTCGTTTCACCCGAGAAGTCTCGCCCGCCTCGACCGCAGCACCATCTCGGACCGTGCGCTGCAACGAGCTGGGAACCTGATGGCAGGGATCGGTAAAATTGGGATTATGAATGCAGCTGGAGCATTCGTGAGTAAGGCAGGAACGGCGACGGTTTTTCGAGTTATTCGAGAGAACGCACGGAATTGGTCCTGGGGTCGCTCGACGGCGACACCGTCTGCGTAGCGACGACTAATCGGCGCGGCGGGACCAGCTCCCTAAGAACTTCCCCAGGAATCGAGAATCTCTTATCGGCTATTAGTTTCTCTGGAATTATTTCTTTCAGGTGGCTTATCCTCTGGAACCAGAAGTGGAATTCGGAATGCAGGACCGAAGCCAAAACGCGCACATGCTAGCGATCATGGAAGTTACCCGCGCACGTTGTCCACGGATGCGAGATAAACTGGATAAACGGTGGACTTGAGTTTTGGGGGAAGAGGAGACGGTGAAAGGACTCTCGAATTCTGTGAGAATAGCTCCTGGCGGTCCCAAGAGGAAGAATTCGTTCGCTATGGACGATTCGAAAGGCCGGTGCTCGCATGAAATCCCCTGTACGTGGGGTTTCTCTCTTTACAATTGCGGCCAGCCTCCGCCATCGGAGACGCGGGAATACTTACGGCAAAGAAACGGCAGCTAGCCAGAAGTCACGTGACACAATTTGAAATGCAGTAAGAATCTTTAAATAGCTCGTAGCCCGAGCATACTTGCTCCAGCCAGTCGCCTACAGGTCGCAAGGCCAACGAGTGCTCGGTCTCGGGATCCGCAAATTCCATTAGATCCGAGACAGGTTTCGCGTCAACTACCTCGAGGGTGGTTCACGTGGACGATAAGGATGATCAAATTGTACAGGAAATAGCTGCCCATCACTGGGAATGATAACTCATTGCTTGCGGTAACCCGTCGATCCGGCGTTCAGACTGTTGCCTTAATTTTCACCAACTTTCAACCGCTGGCTCGAGTTACTTATATCTGTACTAGTTATGTCGCTTGCATACGTCATTGTGCGAGGTCAGTGATGAGACTATAGTTTACACTCGTCAATTCGACTCGTATTATAGATCATAAACAAACTATCCGTAGGAGGAGCGCATCAGAGGCGAGACTTCGTTTATCCTGTTCATCAGCGTTGTCTGCGAGGCTGGTCATAAGTGAACTCTTGGAATAGAGAATCTATAGATCTAGGCGTCGAAGGATGCTTTCTACCCTGCCATAGAGAAACTCGGTAGAGTTTCGAGCCAAGTACATCGAGATGCATGGTACTACTCCAGAGTTTCAGGTCACCTTTTACCAACTACCGAAAGACCGCAGGTGATAGTCCATTCAGAGCTGTACTATTTTCTAAATGATCATACGGCATTTCTTTTACGGTGCCTTGAGCTATTCTTTCATTACTTTAATATCACGCAGGATAAACGGAGGATGGACGTTAAGCCTGGCGACGGTTCCCCACAAAGGCAGAAGGCGCAGCAGGAATAAAAGTCATATACGCATTCTGCCAGAGCCGGCGCCATTTAATCACCTCGGACGATCGTCGATTATTCCAAAGCAGGCAATTACGCCATTTTTACGGCGATACGCAATCAAGTTCGACTAGCGACGCGCAACCTTAACCTCGTAACGGAAAACACGGCCCGTAATGCCCGCGTCCGTGATTGCCCTCACACTTGCGCAACGCTCGTAAACGGCCGCCATTTTGCACGTGGTAATGTTTACAATGTTCATTCTCCTCATCGGGCGGCCTCGTTTAAGGGAATTCCAACGGCACTTTCGGAATGTCGAGCCTTCGGTAATCATTTTTCCCAGGCCGAACCGTGGGGGAGGCGCCGCGTGATCGATACGCCCGCTCTTTTATGACAATCGTAAAAGTGCGCGGTCTCGCACGTGGCACTGTTTACAATATTAATCCTGTTTTAAAAGCCCATGAAAATGGGATCCCACCCCCTAGGCTATTTTCCGCAAGCTCCTTCAGCGGATTCTCGGACCCCGCCGAATTGCCTCGCTGCTCGTCCGGCTGCAACGCCAGGGGAATTTAATGCGTGGCTGAAGGCGATCGTTGTGCAATCTGGACTAAATCGGTGCGTCGTCGCATCGTGCATTTAATGCGTGGCTGGCGGACAGACACGATAAAAGTTCATCGCGAACGAGGGAAAATGTATGGTGGACGTTGGTGACACCTCTCGAGGGCGTATACCGAATATGTCGAGGCGGACGCGCAGATTGTCTCTAGTAGGACCATTATCGTGTCACCGTGGTAATGGCTGATCGATTGGCCAGGATGTTGCGCACCGTGTCGAGGCGGTGCAATGGCGACACTGGCCGTGTTCATCGGTGAAATCTAATTGCCCGGGATGTAAAGATCGCCCCCTCGTCGAGGCACTTTCTGCGGCGTAGGCGCACGTGGAAAGTTTTCTCTCCCGGCCCAACGCAACGATCCGCGTGTCGCTAATGGACGGTCCATGTGATACAATTAAGGTCGACCTTGTCAAGTTCTTCGCGCTTAGAATCAAGCGTTGTCATGTTAAAATCGTCACACGACGATTTTAACATGACCCTCGCCTCTGTCTCTCTCTTAATTCGAGGGCGAGACTGCTCCGCGTTTCGGAACGTCGATCCCACGCTCCTTCGTCTTTATGCAACTCGTTTCCCGGAAAAAAAAAAATAAGAAAAAAAAAACAGAAAATGGAGACGCGCGCTCCTTTTTCCGCACGTGCATAGAGCAATTCATGAACCGTCCCCGTTACCAAGTGCGCAGCAGTCTCGACGAGTAAGAAATTCGCGATAGCGCGGACTGTTTTTCCCCCAGGCGAGACGAGAAAATCATATTATTGGCGCCGACCTCTGCTCTTCGGTCCGGCCTTCTAGGTTTCAACGTGTCGCGTGTTCGACGTCCGTCATCCAACCTCAAGACATTCAAGCCTGACGGGACTCCGGATTTGCGGCCCAGCTGCAAAGGAAATGACAAAACCTTCCGAAAACGTTTACAGGAGACACGGAAGAGGAGGAAAATCCCCATAGCGGCGTATTACAAGGCTAACGGAAACTGCGGAGCTCTCTTGAAAAGCGGGAAAAACCTTTGTGCAGTTGCAGGAGGCGCCATCACGTCGCGGCGCAATGTTCCTGCAACTGCGCTGTTCCTGGCTCGGCCAACTATTCAGATTCGAGATCGATACCACGGAGAGGGATATTACCAGGGCGAGAAGGCTCCGCAGATTCGGCATTACAATTTTATAAAAATCACCCCAATCAACTCATGTTCAGTTTCGTCTGATCTGAGGTCGTATCAATCAAGGAAGATCCGAATGGACTTCGACATCGGTCGAAAATCGGCTGATCAAAGGCGAACCGAGGCAGGTAAAAGTTTGGAATTTAAAGACAATTTGTATCTGTAGATTCGGGATATCTCGAGTTGCTGGTAAACCTCTCCTAAAATAAGCCTAGGGTCTTGCCAGGGCATCATCTCGGGTTACGATACCAACTAGTGCGCCGGTATACCGGTGTTATTATTTCATAGCGGAAATGACCAATCAGGCGTGTATGTGATAAATCTGTCCGACAGTTTTGGCAATGAGCTCGTCGGACATGTATTCGACACTTCGTCGCGGCCTTTTGCGTATGACAGACTTCGAGTACTGTTAACACCGTCTCGTTGATGATGCCCTGACTCGACAGCATTCCCCTAGAGGGAATTATTTACCCTCGAGCCGGCGAAACTGTGATCGGCGAGAACGTCTTGCGATGGCGTAGTACGGCATCTACAAATGGATTTAGCTGAAAAGAAGGCCACGGCGTAGTAGGCCACCGCGGTATTGATTTCGGTCGGCTTCTGCATCAGAGACTATACGGTGTCACCGTATACGGAGAGTAGAAGGGAAGGCCATTGCGAAGTCGACACGAAGAAAACACTTTCGAGCGGATGTCATTGCGTCAGGGTCCCGAAGGGTCGAAGAACCCGAGAGAAAAATCGAGCCGCTCCTTGAGACGTGGAAAAAAAGTCGAAAATTTCATATCCTGCCGACCTAGAGAGGGACTTTCTCGATATAAATGCCACCGGGACATTTGATACCCAGGGATCCGTTTCCAGCGCTTTGCGGTCCGACCGGAGACTCGTTTGCAGAGAATCCCGTCCTAGGTACCCTGATTTGTCGGCGAGTTAAATGTTTAATTAGCGCCAGAGAGATGGTTGCGTAACTCCTCGGGACGTCCATCGGGAGGTATTTACGATCTTCCCCCAGGACGGCCGCTGACTGCGGCATGACTCAAACTCGAGTTGTGGTGGAGTTTACGTTTACGCCGACCACGCGTCCATGTAGACGGGGCTCGAAACGGGTTCGTAAAATCGATCAAGTTCGGAGGAAATTGGCAGTGCTCGCGTCTGCGACCTTTTTGCGAAACCCCGGCAAGAAAGGCGCCATTCCAACTGGTCGCTCGTAAATAAATCAGCCCGTAGTTGCTCTTTAACCCTTTAGCTGCGAAAGGCTCGGAAAGAGCCCCGAAGAAGTGGACGTCGAGCACATTTATTTGGCTCGTTACGGTGCATTTAAGCCCCTACTTATATACTGGTATATCGATGATGTAGTCGATGCACTTGACGCAGTTGATGCGCATTGGGGGTTCGCGACATTTGCTCTACAAGTAGTTGCCCTCATGTAAAGTGGGGAGTAATCCCCCTCGGTAACCGGTCCCAGTCGTGTCGTTATGTCCCTGGGTTAAGAAGATCTGGAGGCAATCTTTAGGGTTGGGACTGGTGAACTGGCTCGATCCAGCTCTTAGAACGGCTGCAAAACTCGGCTAAGCTCCCATTCGCCAGATACGAGCGATCTTGAAGTCTGGTCTCCTGGTCATGCACGTCCTTGTCGAGAATTCCTGGCCTTGTCGGACTGAATCACCCCGAGTCGAGATTCGCGTTTAATCGTTTGTTAAGCGAGTCGTAAGTCGACTATTCCGCTATACGGATAACAGACTAGGAAACGGTGAGCGATGATAAATCTAGGATAGTAACGGACCGACGCTGAGAATTTCCTCCTCGGATAAAATCATTGCGGCAATTAACATTTTTGTACATTCTACATTAATCGCCTGTATCTCTGAAAACGTGGGTAATTAACGGACCCAAATTATAAGTACAAGTTTGAGCGGTATCAAGATCAATGTCGTTGTATCTGCGACTCTTGGGCGATGGTGGGCCCCAACAAAATTGAACCTGTAATTGAATCTTTCTTCCTATCGCCGTTTTTATTTCAATTTTAATTTCGATTCTGGGACTACCGCACTTTTTTCTGGAGAATATAGGCAATGGGCCCAAAAACAAAACCACGACGTAGGTTTGGGCGGCATCAAGATCAATGTCGCCCATCAGCTGATCGGCTATCGAGGGCGTTATCGATACGGATTCATCGTTCATAATGTGACTTTATCGCTCCCTCGAATTCCGATGAATCCCCTGATGACTTATCTCTATTTAAATCGTCGAATCCGCGAGATAGTAACAAAATCGGAATTCATTCATCGAACTTTGAAGCCCAGTCACGAGACGATTTGTGCGTAATAGAATTAGCCATTTCATCGGTATGAAGTCAATCTTATTCTTAGTCACGGGAAGATAAAGGAAATACTCATCCGACTCATCGCATCCGGTATTCCGCGAATCGCGGATTTTCGCGATCGGAGAGAAGTCTCGAGATTTCACTTCTGGGGTCGGACCAGGTGCACCAGAAGTGCAGTGCTCCAGTTTATGCAACCGCCGCTAGTCCCGCTTATATTTGAGGAGCGTAAAATGTAAAACCCTCAGCAATCGGCGCGCGTGATTTGTTTGGACAGTTGTTAAACAATATTATTCCATATTTGTCGCCTGGTAGGTTTTTTGGGTTACTCAAATAAGGTTGCATAACGTTTATCGCTTAAAGTGATCTCCCGATGACGTCGACTCCTTATGCAAAACAGGGTTACGTGGATAAATCTGTTCGCAATATGCGTAATACGCGCTAACTTAACCATTGAGCGTTTCGTCGAATCGACGGCTAGAAATGAAATGACTGCGAATCAAATTGAAATCACATTTCCTCGAAGTGATCTCGCGCCCGCTGGAAAATCCTGCCCCTGAGCGAAGGTGCCAGGTCGGATTTAGAATTCTAATTCCAGGATCATCCTCCAGTTTAAAATGCAGAAGCTCATGGCACAAAATGTCGTCTTATACGGTTGGCAAGAGCGCGGTTAATTCGGGGCCGTAAAAGAGCGACCTTCGTCGACGGGAATTATACTTCGTCGCGGCGTAGCGCGGCCGCGAGAGAGATGCTTTGAGCAAGGTTAGGATTGTAGAGCTTGTGTATATTTGTCAACTAATTTTAGCCGCTGGTAGCACTTTGGATTAGCAGGCAGAGCCATGGCGCATCGTGCGCGAATCTTTAGGCAAAGGCCTTAAAATTAATGGCGACGCTCGCCATCTTTCGGCGCTCTCGTGAGGCGTCAATCCATTCGTCAATGCCCCTTAAAATTGGATAAAAATTACGATACCGCGTAATAGTCTGTATCATGTTTTACCATACATTGTAAAGAGGTGAGCCGAATTTATCTGGATTTTTCTAAACGTTAGAATGCGCTTTCATGATCCGAATTAACCCGACAAAGTGCATCCTACACGGGTACGTAAAATTAATGGCGGCGCTCTCGTGAGGCGTCAATCCATTCGTCAATGCCCCGTAAAATTTGATAAAAATTAAGATACCGCGTAATAGTCTGTATCATGCTTTACCATACATTGTAAAGAGGTGAGCCGAATTTATCTGGATTTTGATCCGAATTAACCCGACAAAGTGCATCCTACACGGGTACGTAAAATTAATGGCGGCGCTCTCGTGAGGCGTCATCCATTCGTCAATGTCCCTTAAAATTGGATAAAAATTGCGATACCGCGTAATAGTCTGTATCATGTTTTACCATACATTGTAAAGAGGTGAGCCGAATTTATCTGGATTTTTCTAAGCGTTAGAATGCGCTTTCAAGACCCTATTAGATCCGACAAGGTGCATTCTCGCGGGTGTACGTGTAATTCAACCCTGACCTACCGGACGGCCTCGGGCCTGGTCTCGGTGTTTGGTTTAATTCCAAGTCATTTATGCGAAACGTAGTCAAACGGTCTTTGTTGCATCGGGACCGTCGTTAAAGTTCTGCAACGAGTACCGAGAAATTCACACGTGGAGTGATACCGCATTCGTAAAGGTAATATACGGCCACTAGGTGCCTTTTTGTGCACTGAATTATGTCTCGACACGCGGCATGCAAGGCCTCGTAAAACTGGAGTGTCAATCAGATGCGGTACATTCGATTTTAGAAAAACAAGTAGAGGTATTCAACACACCCTCCGTATAATTGTATTAGCCAGTTTAAAAATTCCCGATGAAGTGTGACCAAACTTCAACCTATTCGCGAATTGACAAACTGCGAATTAATTAAAAGTGTCACGTCAAATTTCTAATTGTATTACCGCGTGGTAATTTAAATTGCCCACGTCACACACCTATCATTTATACATGTCTTGCCATCATTTGTACGCGCTAAAAATATATGTGGAGTATTTACGAACACCTTTAACGATGTTGACGTTCTATTTCGACGCCGTTATATCGACGACGACGCCAGTCTGCGTCGACGATACGAAAACAGTATCTCCAATGAACATTGCGAGAGTATGTAAAGGCACGACAAGTACTGATATCATTTGCACGGTATCGCAAGAGCAAAAACGACTCCGGAAAGAGGAAAAAGAGGAAGAAGAGGAAGTGACGATACCGAATCTCTCTCTTTCCGACACTCCGGATGGAAATCAGGCGCAAGTGCAGATCGACTCTGTCCTTCATGGGTGAAAAAGAAACCATAGGCGCCAAAAAATGGTCCCTGCCAATGGACAGACCCGAAACCTTGAGTAACGTGCATAGCACGAGAGTATACATTTAAAGAAGCTATTCCGGTAGCCGCTATTTCCGGCGGCGCGGCGCCACGAATGAGTCAAAGTGCCATCCTCGATGAATCGGGACTCATCGAACTCGAATTGTTCCTTCGGTCGCTTTCATCGGCCTCTCCCTACTCGCCATACCCGAAAAAATTCACCAAGAATTAGTAACATTAAAGACATCACCACAACGAGCTGCTAAATTAAATGATAATCCTGCAAAACTGTCCAGGAAAATCAGTACCAAGGAAGTAAATCCGTAAGACGCGTGGCAGGATTAATTTATTCATATTTTAATGTATCTGTCTTTTTTTTTTGTGTTTTGTATTTTATTACATATGTTATTTTTTATTAAATATGTTATAGACGGAGCCGGGTGAAATATTTAAAATAAATAATATCGTCGTAATGAGTAATATTTAAGATAATAAAATCGTTGTATTAATTTCTAATATTTCATTGGGAATTTCGGAGGGGTTGGATCGGAGTACGTGTTAAAGGGACTCTTTGGTCGGTCTTGTCGGGCCCTCCAATTGATCGATCACGATTCCCGAGTGTCTTCTTGGGGAGACTCTCTCCCTCTTTTTCCCGAGGAAGAGGCACACTATTTTCATCGGCGACCATTTGGCATCTCGGACGCGCGAAAACTCCACGTGGGCGGCTAGACGAGGCGTCATCGGAACTAGGCGCCGCATTTTGCGGCGATGTCGAGCCATCGATGGTAACGCCGGCTCGAAATAACAATTAGCCCTCTCGGACGAGACCGCTCCTCCGTTCGTTCACGTGCGTAAAACGTGTACCGGGTACAGGCGAGATTGCAAAATCCCGGCAATTGCGTCCTACCGGTGATCCTGCGTCGCAGTTCGGAGAACCCTTAGAAATTTTCCCGGGAAATGTCGCGAATTTCGCGGCAAACGTCACAAATATACCGAACATGACCGAATAACACCTGTTAGGTAATTCGAAGATTTTCCGTTGTTTTTTGCCTAACCGATGTTAACCAAAAATCAAAGGAACAACGACCGAACTTCTGGAATGAAATTGAAAATTTCTCGATACTCGATTTCCCAAAAATAAGAACCGACTCATTGTGACCGGGTTGAAAAGCCAAATGGTATTTTTCGTCGCTTGGAGAACATCATCTTCGTCATCAACATCGTCACGCTGTACGTAGGCTCATCACGCGCCTCCAGATGCAAAGTCGCGATTCGAATTTTCGTCGGTCTCCTAACTCGAGCGAATCGCTTTAGCGAGTACTTGCGAACCTGCAATTTGCTCGACGTCGCCGCTACCGATTAGAGAACGGTTTTAAGCCAGTTAAGAGGAGTGAAAAGCGTGTAAATTTGGCTTTACGATTTTTTTTCTTTTTTTTTTTTCTACTTCATCACCAAAAGGGATGCGACTATTGTGTCCGATATTTCATTATCAAGCCCCATTATCACCCCTCAGTTCCACCTTCGTCTTAATCAGAGCAATGCCAACAAACCTGGGGATATCACCTCGGTCTTCAATGTCACTCTTATCTCGCGCAATCGAGTTTAGACATTTACGTAACTTTACTACGCTTCTTTATTCCCCTCGGAGCACTTAGAGTTTCCTCTAAGCCGAAACCGTAGAGAATCGGAGGAAATCTTCTTACCCGCTTAAATCTCGCATTTTCGTTAGCTTCGACCGTTTTACGACTCCGTTGACTAAGACTGCCGATGGCGATGCAAATTCTTACATTTTGCCTCTTTTCAAGCTCTCGAGGATATGCAAGTCGCATGAAAAGTGCCGTTTAAATGTCGCGTGTCGTCCCTCGGAGTGACAACAGGAAAAATTCTTATTATAACTCGCATTGCACGAAGGACGATATAAATACACTTACGACACATTATGCCGATGGATACTATGATAACATGCGACGTTTCGAAATTCCCAAGAAATATCGTTAATATATACCTACATACGTCATATCACAGTACGGAATAATTTTTTTAAAAATTCCAAAAATTTACATGTCATTGATAAATGTTTATCATCAGTCTGACACGAAGAACGACTTAAATAGACTAAAGACACATTATGCCGATGGATCCGACTATGATAACATGCGACGTTTCGAAATTCCCAAGAAATATCGTTAATATATACCTGCATACGTCATATCACAATACGGAATAATTTTTTTAAAAATTCCAAAAATTTATATGC